ATCATACAATGTTGCTGTTACTGTGTACAATGTTTTCCTGGTTCTGTTTACTTCACTCTGCATCAGTTCATTTTATTTGATTCTTTTTTAAAGACACAATTCTGAGAGTTTAGGAGTTTCACGGGATTGTAGAACCAGCATCTAAGAGATGGAAGGGAGCTTTAAGGTCATCTAATGCAATCTAACCTCCTCATTCTACAGAGGAAGAAGCCAAGAGATTTAGTGACTTGCTTAGGGTGTCACTGGTAGTAAATAGCAGAACTGAAATTTGAACCGAGGTCTTTTGTTTCATACCTAAATCCATCTCTCTTTTCACTACTTTCTCTTCCAAAGGATCTCCCCCCCCCCACCAAACCCCCATAAATTTAAATGGAAACAGGAGGTAGTGATGACCAAAGTTGACTGAAAAATGAAAATTCCTGAAAAGAAGGAAGGAGACCAAAACTGGCATTAGTTAACAAATCAATGATCATTGTGGTATTGGTAAGAAGTAGCTGAAAACAGGTGACTATTATTTTAGGATCGTAGATCCAGAGCTGAAAGGGACCTTAGAAGCCATTGAACACAACCCCATGATTGTTCAGATAAGGAAACTGAGGTCTAGAGATTTGCCCAAGATCTTACAGAGAGGAAGCGCCAGAAATGAAATTCAAACCCAGACCATCTGCCTTCAAATTATGTGCTCTTCACCTCAAGACTCTCTAACCATTAGTTAACCAAAAGAGGAGTGGGCTACCTCAGGTGGTAGTAGTGAGTTCCCCCTCAGTGAAGGTCTTCAAAGAAGATTCTTGATGTTCTTAATTTGTCCTTAATTATGAGTTGGACTAGATAACTTCTCACATCTCCAATTTTGTTGTTCTCTGATTAACTGTGCAAAAACCCACCAACTTTTCAGCCAACTCATACATGCAACTTATAGTTACAGATGAGTTGCCCTTCTGTATCAGCTGTGTCCACAGTTGGAGTTCCCCCACACTGATAGAAATCATAGGTCTATACCCACCCAAAACATCTGATTTTGGTACCAACAGTATTTCACTTTTTTTGTCAGTATGATACTCGTCTTCCAGTATTTTCATTTCAATTGGTTGTTTTACCTTAAGCTTAGGTCTTCATGACCTCAAGTTCCCAACATTGGAGTAATCTTTGAGGAGTCTTAGTGAATCAGGTGTGGTGGCATATGCTACTAATTCCTGCTACTAGGGAAACTGAGGATGATTAATCAGATGAGCTCAGAAAGTTTAGAGCTGAAGTAGGGAGAAAACCAACCAGGTGTCCTTACTAAGTTCAGTACCAATATGGCAAACCCCTGGGAACAGGGACCAGCAGACTGCCTGAGGGGGAGAGGACCAGCCCAGGTTGTAAATGGAGTTTGTCAAAGCTTCTCTGCCCATCAGCACTAGGGTTGGCCCCATGAGTGGCTGTACTACCAGCCGCAGGGAAATAAGGAGATCCAGTCTTAAAAAAGAAAAAAAAATGGCTATTTGACAAATACTTAAGAAAAAAAATTTTTTTAGTCACAATATGACTTCCTTAGGCATTTGGGTGGAAAATAGCATTTTACAAACAGTGGTGTGATTGAAGGACAGGCAGAGTTAGAGTCAGAGGATCTGAATTTGAATCCTGACTCTGTTCACTTGCTGCCTTTTTGACCTTGGGCAAATCACTTTCCCAACCTGGGCTTCAGTTTCCTCATCTATAAAATAAAGGGTGTGCCTGAATTCCTTCTAAGGGTGTTTCTAGGCAGCTAGGCACTTCAGTGGATAGGGTGTTGGGCATGGAGTCAGCAACACCTGAGTTCGAATTCTGCCTAGCTGTGTGACTCTGGACTGGTCACTTAGTGTGTCTCACCCAAAGTTTGTAAAATGAGGGTAATTGTACCTATTTCACAAGGTTGTTAGGAGGATCGAATGAGTTAACATACATTGTAAACCTTACAATAATAAGTAATAATAAATAAATGTTAGCTACCCCTGTCCTTTCTGGCTCTAAACTCATAGTCCTAGGAAGTATTGAAACTATCCATGAACCCTTCCTCCATCTTGTGCTAAAGTCTCCTTTCCCTTCCTCAGCTCTGCCATCTCCTACCTGAGCATAGAGACCCAACAGGAAGACTTAGAAGTGGACAAACTTTTGCTCCAGTCTCAAAAATGGCCTGCCCCTGGGCATTCTTGTTCCGAGCCAAAAGCTCTCAATACATCTTCGAAGAGGACAAAGATATCAATAACAACATGGGGAAAGCCAGCATCAAATCCATCAGGTAAAGTTTCCCTTTTGTTTTCTTCCTGCTTTCCTGATTAGTCTGAAATTGTCATATATTTGCTGATGATTCAGCTTTATGTCTCCAGACTCATCTTTCCCCTGGACTCTAGGCTCCTACTTTTATTTGCCAAAGGCCATTTCTACTTCATGGACTTTCTGAGAGGAAGATATTTCCCAGAATTCCATGGTACTCAAATTCATTTCCTCCTCCATTGCCTAACTTTATACCTATCTTCTAGGAAGGAAGGAAGGAAGAAAGGAAGGAAAAAAACAATTATTTATTAAGGACCTACTACGTGCCAGATCCTTTACAAATGTGATCTCATTTGAGACAACCACCTCAGGAAGTAGAGGTGCTATTATTATTCCCATTTTACAATTGAGGAAACTGAGGCAGACAGAAGTGATTTGTTTAGAATCACATAGCTAGTAACTGTCTGAGCCTGGATTTGAACCCAGATTTTTCTGACACCAGGCCCAGGAATCTATCCACTATGCCACCTAGCTGGCTTAAAATGCTCAAACAAAGCAGGGTCATTGATCAGCACAGTGACATAAGGTTCAGAAAGCTCTTTCTTTCCATCAACCCTGTGAGGTATCCTCATTCTATAGATGAGAAAACTGAGGCTCAGAGCAGTGAAGTGACTTGCCCAAGGACTAATGGCTTGGACAATCAGCATCAGGGTCACATTTCCAACGTGGGTCTCCTGACTTCAAAAGTTCTTGACCCTTCCCCACTCCTTCCATGGGTTAAGGCTGTTTCTTCAGGTGCAGTGGGATGGAGGAAGGGGAGGGGGCAGAAGGCTGAGTAGAGTGGCCTCCACAAAGCTGAATGGACAAATCTTGGAGCTGAAAAAAAAAAAAGTTTTGAGGGCACTCCAGCCTCCCTTTGATACTCTTTGGCCCCCAGTAGAGGGCAAACAGGAAACATTACCCAATTCCCTACTGGGAGAGTGCCTGCGAGTGGAAAGGTCTGAGTGACTGCTCTGAGAAAAGGTAGTTTGTTTCTGAACTTATCCATCCCTCTCTGGAGCAACCCATGAATTTAAAGAACCCTAGAATGTTAGAGCTTTTCAAAAGAGATCTTGGACATCAACTAGACCAAACATACCCATTTTACAGAGGAGTAAAGTTATGCCCAAAGGTATGCGGGTAGTTCATAGCAGAGCTGAGATTAGAACCCCAGCTCTCCAAATCCCAGGTTAGTACCTTTTACACTATCACATGTTTGGTTTAAACCCTAAGTATATTACGGGGTCTCTCCGTAATATACTTCAGGTTGTTTGCAGTAGTTCCCAGACTCCAGATTTCCTTCCTGGGATAGTTTGTATCTGAAGAGAGAGAACAAAGACTTAGAAGGTTTCACGCTGGGGAAAGACAGCTTGCTGTGGTGGAAAGGCTAATAGATTTGGAGTCAGAAGACCTTCTTGGGTTTGAATCTAGGCTCTGACACTTTCTATCTGTATGACCTTAGGGAAGTCACTTAACTTTTCTGGGACTCAGTTTCCTCATCTGTAAAATGGGGGGTGGAGGGTTGGAGTGGGTGAGCTTTAAAGCCACAGGATCATGGATTGAAGAATGGAAAGGACGTTAGATTGAGTTGAGTCCCGACACTTCACAGGCCAGAGCAGGGAGTGACTTGCCCAAGATTAAACAGAGAGCAGAAGTGGGATCTGAAACAAAATTCTCTGTTATTGATACCCCAGATCACTTCCCTTTCTGGTGCAAACCTTCTCAGAAGAGTTGCCTTCCTAAAACTTCAACAAACACCTACTATGTGCAAATTCTGGCTCTGGAGTCAGAGGACCTGGTTTCAAATCCTGACTCTGTCCCTTGCTGCAGGGAAGATAGTGGTCAAGTCCCTGAGGCTCTCCAGGCCTCAGTTTAGTCATCTGTTAAATGGGAGGGGGGAAGGGTTGGACCAGGTAGATTTTAAGGTAAGGCCCCCCCCAGCTCTAGATCTGTGATCCTCCTGCTTTCCTCCCAGCTCTGGAACAATGATCTACCTGCCCCCTTTTCGAGCTCCGGATCCATAATTCTCTGCCTCCCCCCTGGTTCTAGAACCATGATCTTCCAGGCTCCAATCCAGGTCTGGATCCCTGCTCCCCCTGCCTCCCTCTTGCTTCTAGATCTTCAATCTTCCCGCCTCCCTCCCGGTTCTAGAACCATGATCTTCCTGACTCCCATCCAGGTCTGGATCCCTGCTCCCCCGCCTCCTTCTTGCCTCTAGATCTTTGATATTCTGTCTCCCTCCCAGTTCTAGATTGATGATCCTCTGCTTCCTTCCTAGCTCTAGAACCAGGATTCCCCTGCCTCCTTTTCAGTTCTAGATCGCTGATTCTCCCACCTCCCTCCCAGCAGCAGATCTCTTATCCCTGCTTTATTCCATTCAGAGGGGGAGTGAATGAGCGGTTCTGTGCTCTCGCCCAGGTCAATCCAGCCTCCTCTCAGATAAACTTTTCTCCTTAGATCGCCAAGGAACACTCTGGCACTCATTAGCATCTGAGATTCTCCAGGGCAGCTGAGGGTGCAAATGTCAGCCCCACACAGCTGCATTCTCCTCCCTCCTGGGTAATGTCTAGTTAAATCAGGCAGTCCCTTGGTCTCTGTCCACTCCTCCTGCTCTGGCCACTCCCCCCACGCCCCCGGGAAAGAGGAGGGGGCCCCCTGCTACAGGGAGGGCTATAAAACCAGAGAAAAGGAGGGGCCCCCCAGAACGAGAGCAAAGCATTGTGCTCCCGAGCCACGTTTAGTTGCTCTGCTCCAGCCCAGCTTCCTGAAGTCACAGGGGACCATGAGGGAAGGGGTCAGCTCTGCCTGTGCCATGCCAAGGATGTTCCTGCTGATTAAAAGGATCTTTGGGAGCCATCCTGTGTGCTGTCCAAATGGATCCAGGTACTTTCCAGACTCCAGGGTCAGTCTCTGGGGAGCCTACCAGCTACCACTGAGCTGCTCAGAGTCTCAGGTCTGGAATGGACAGGGAAAAGAGCATGCGTTGGCATAGGTATTCTAGAAAAGGACCTGAGATTGTTAAAGCTGGGAGGAAGCTTAGAGGTCATCCAGCCTGAGCCCTCTCGCTTTTAGGAACAAAAGCTGAAGCTCAGAAAAGGACAGTGACTTACCCAAAGTAACACAGCTTAATCAATTGATTGGGTTGGAACTCCAACAATAAAGGGATGGGCTACCTTTAAGTAAGGGTTCTGGACTTAGAGTCCATCAACTTAGATAGGAAAAAATGCCATCTTTATTTCAAAATAATTTATTTCCTTTACAATCCTATAAATTTATGAATTTTAAAACATGAGGCCCAGAGAGATTAAGTGATTTGCCCAGAGTCACAGAGGTACGTGTTTGAAGTAGGATTTGAACCCAAGAGTTTACATTTTCCTTTTTTTAAGACCAAGTCTATTGTGGTCGTCACACAGAGCGCCCTCACATATGTGTGTGGTTGTGAATACGAGCTTGATCAGAGAAGAAATCATTTCAGCATCCTGAAGTTTTTTTAGCTTGGTGAAAAGTAATCTCACTAGGTAAGGCATAGCCCAAAAAGCAAAGGAGAGTATTGACTGCAAAAATTAGGTGCATTTCATTCATGGAAGGGTTTTCGTATACATCTATAGATGGGTGCTAGTTATATGCCCATGTCCTATTTGATCCATTTCTTGGTGCTAGATGCTAATAAAGTCAAGATCACTGCTCTGGTCTGGTGGACAAAAACTTTCTCGTGGATAAAAACTTGTTTTCAAGATCACAGACAATACCCCTGAGGCCAGCTGTTTCTGAGTCATGAAAGGCTTAGTCAAGAGTCTATGGATGGCTCTGAGCAAATCCATCCCCACTACTGGACAGAACTTAGCCGGTGGGTCAGGAAAGCCATCTCCCTACATAAAGGATGAGGTATTTGTTGTTGTTCAATTGTTTCATCCGTGTCTGAATCTCTTGACCCCATTTGGGGTTTTCTTGGCACAGATACTGGAATGGTTTGCCATTATCTTCTCTAGTTCATTTGACAGATGAGGAAACTGAGGCAAACAGGAGTAAGTGACTTGCCCAGGGTCACACAGCTAGTAAGTGTCTGAAGTCATATTTGAACTCAGGTCTTCCTGACTCCAGGTCAGCCCGCTATCCACTGTGCTACTTAGTTGCGCATGAGGCATTTCTATGGGTATATTTGTATGAATGTTTAGTATGCATGCAAAGAGCAGTTAGGTAACAGGTGCCCTTATCACCATTCTACTTTGGGCAGTAGTGCTTTCCCTGATTGATGAATCAATATTGATTTTTTTTAATTGCACTGCATTTTAAATGCACTAGGGAAACTTACTGTTTTAAAACTCTTTTAAATTTCTTTTTAATAATAAACCTCATACAACAAGCACAAATATTTCAAAATGCAGAGAACTAAAAAGATTGTTCATAGCACCATGAACATCTGCTCTATGTACTATGCCTTCCCAGGGTATGCTGCATTTCCCAAGGTAGCAGCAACATTGCCCTCTTTGCATCTCCCTCTGAATATTTTGCTGTCTTCTGTGCATTTTGTTGCTTCTAATAGTTAACATTTATACACAAATATTACCTCTTTTGTTCCTATTGTGGGAATTTTCTCCTCCTGGGTTCCTGGGGGGTCCAGCAGGGTTGGGGAGAATCTCATCCACCAGCTGGATCTGCTGTCTGGGATTCAAGTAACTGGAGTAGCAAACCTGGAAAAAAAAGATTGATTATTAGAAAGATGAGAGAGACTATTTGGGCTAGTAGCAAACTCATCTTCTTAGGGTGCAAATTGGGATCTGAGGCTTGAGTAAAATTCATAGCTGCCTTCTCAGTAGTTAGTTATCTAGCTAGGTGGTGCAGTGGATAGAGCTCCAGCCCTGGAGTCAGGAAGACCTGAGGTCAAATCCGACCTCAAACACTTAATACCTGTGTGACCCTGGGCAAGTCACTTCACCCTGTTTGCCTCAGTTTCCTCATCTGTAAAATGAGCTGAAGAAGAAAATGGCAAACCACTCCAGCATCTCTGCTAAGAAAACCCCAAATAGGGTCATGGAAAGTCAGACTAAGTGACAACAACACATAGTCAAAGCCTCCTTCAAGATAGAATTAATCGACCGCCTCTGATTGTAGTAAGGAGGGGAATGAAATACAGCCTGAGGGTTTCTATGGGCACAACCCTACACCTCTCTTTCTTTGGTTTCAAAGGTTTCTTTATCTAAGGGAAAGTGCTTTCCCCCAGACTCACAGTACTCCTATTCATCTTCCTCTTCCACAACCCTAAGAGGTAGGTGATACTATTATCCCCATTTTACAGATGAGGAAACTGAAGTAGAAGGAGGGTAAGTGACTTGCTCAGGGTCACCTAGCTAGTAAACATCTGAGGTTGGATTTGAATTCTTATTTTCCTTACTTCAAGTCCAGTGATCTATGTATTGTGCCACCTAAAAGCTTTATTGGTGCTCTTCCCCTACCCCTTTGGAATACATGGTATAAGAGACAGAGGATTATACTTAGAAGCCTGGGTTCAAATCCTACCCCAGACTAATTGTGTGACTGGGCAAGTCTCTCCATTTCTTTGAGCTTCATTTTCTATATCTGTATAATGGGGATACCCATCTCATCTGAGTTGTTATGAGACAGACACTTTGCAAACCCTAAAGCATTTTGGAAATGAGTCTTTTTTTTTCCTTTGCTTTTTGGTGAGGCAATTGGGGTTAAGTGACTTGCCCAGGGTCACACAGCTAGTAAATGTCAAGTGTCTGAGGTTGGATTTGAACTCAGGTCCTCCTGACTCCAAGGCCAGAGCTCTATTCACTGTGCCACCTAACTGCCCCATGAATGAATCATTATTAAAGAAAAGAAGATTGATGAATGACGAATCATCTCCTAATGTATCTATCTGATCTCTGTCTGGCTTTTCCTGTGTTGGCTTTTCCTCATGCGGGTACACACCTAGATCCTACTTAAGGATGACACAAAGTCAGTAAACGTCTGAGGTGGGATTCAAATCCAAGTCCTCAGACATTAGAGTCAGTACTCATTCATTGTGCCATGCTGTGTCCCAAATGATCGCTTGTATGTTACTGACAGCCTGGTGAAGCAAGCCAGAAATTCTAAGAGGCAAAGGTAAGAAAGAAGGGCATTCCAGGCATGGGGCACAGCCTGTACAGAGCCTGGAGATGGGAGGAGTGCTCTGTGTGAGGAACAGCAAGAATTAGGCCAACTTGGCTAAACCATACAGCCCACAAAGAGTCATTTATAATCAAGTTGGAACAGTTGGGTTGGGGCCAGGTCATGAAGGACCTTAAATGCCCAACAGAGATCAGTAGCTAAGCCTTTGCTATTCATGAATGTAATACGGTAACACCTACAAAGAGGCTACAGTAGTATGACAGACTCTTGTTGGGTGGGCCAGGTTACTGCCTCCGGCAAGACTTCACCTGTGCCAACACATTGCAACAAGTCTATAATTTACTCCCTCGAATTGCCTGAAACACAGAGCGGGTGGAGTCTCACAGCTGCTAAGTTTCAGAGGCAAGATTTGAACTGGGATTTTCTTTATTCCTTACCTCTCTGCTGCCTCCATTTGCCGAGAAAGTTAACGTGACATCCCAATCCTAAACCGATCATATCCACGAAGATTTCAGATCACACTGACTTTTCTTTCCCTTCTCCAAAGGAAGGCTTCCATTCAAAAACTCAAAGTATGTAACATTTCTAACCTCAGAACCTCTCAAAATCCTGTTGAAAAGACAGGTTAGTGTCTGTGAAGAATCCCAAAGAACACCAACAGATGTAGGTGAAGTGATTTGAAGGGAAGGAAGCAAGACCAGACAGGGGACAAAATGATTACAGTAACATAATAAACAGAGAGAATGGCCAAATGAAACTGAATGGCGTACAATGGTGAGGGCCAAGGTTGGCCCCTAGGAGAGATAAGAAACTGCCCCTCTCTGCCTGCCTGCCTGCCTCCCTTTATTGCCCAGGTGGGAGATGATGGGTGTGCAATATTTTCAACACAATCAGTCAATGTGTGCTGGTTGGTTTTGTAGAATTGTTCTTTTTTTCTTTCCTTTAAAAAAACTTTTATTCAAAGGGAAGTAAAGGAGAGGAAGAAAGATTTTCCAAAATCGCTATGACATTAAAAACAAAATATATAATTTTTTTAAAAAATATTTATTTTATTTTTAATTTATGGAATAAAACAAAAATAAAATAAATAAAAGTTTTAAAATAATGTATCAATTTAAAAAAAATAGGTCATGCCATACCTATTTTATTTCCTTCTTTGAAAAAGATGGGGAAAAAAAAACCTGATTAAGACTGGACAATTTAGATTTCCTAGGGAGGAGAAATTTGTAAATTGTATTTCACTATGTAAATCTGGGCTCCTTAAAGTTTTGTGTGCTATGGACACATTGGCCAGCAGTCTGGGGAAACCTATGGACCCCTTCTCAGAATCAAGTTTTTAAACCTATAACATAAAATACATAGGATTACAAAGGAAGATGATTGTGTTGCAATAAAGTGATCAAAATGTTCAAAAAGAAAAAGCAAGTTCATGGATCCCCAAGTTATGAACCCCTCATCTAACTGACTGATTGATTGCTAAATATCAGTTAATATTATTGTGATTATTCTGATACTTCCAAAGGTCTCTGATTTCATTGATCTAAGTTCTCTCTCACCAGATTGTTCACAGCCCCTGATATTCCCCCCATGATCTTCATAAATCATCCAATCAGTCAATGAGCATTTATTAAATTCCTATTGTGCTTAAGGATTCAGATACAAACATGGAAATATGCCCTACTTGTCTCATACTTCAAGAAGCTAACATTTTAATGGAAAAGACAAGAATATATTTCTCTCTATAATACACAAACATATATGAAATATACATAATACACACATATTCATGAAATATATATGTGTGTATATGCATATATACATGTATATGTGTGTATGTATGTATAAAAAGACAGACAGGATTTGAACCTGGGTCCTCTGACTCCAGAATTAGCACTCACTCTCCATTTTAACACTTGGTGCTTTGTGATTGATGTTTCTGTCCATTGGGTTTGGTTCCTTTCCCCTCTTTTTCGCCTTGCCTCTTTCACAGCTAAGTGGCAGAGCTGGGATTTGAGCCCAGGTCCTTCGATTCCAACTCTAATACTTTTTCCACCACTCCACACTTCCTCCCATTGGTATGGAGGTAATTAATTGAGAGCTCTCGATGTCTTTAAGCGCAGCCTGAGCCCCACCTGGAGCTGCAGCATGCTGGAAAGGTTTCTGCTGCATAGCTACTCCTAGATTGCCTGTCATCTGAAGGCCATTTTAGCTATGTTCTGAGCTCTTCCCCCAGGGTGATGTATTTTTAGCCGTGGCAACTTGCTAAGATTGTTTACTAAGTCGCTGAGAGGTTGCAAATTAAGTTGGTGGTTAGAGTGCCCATACATGCCAGCAAAATCACAGATCCTTGAAATATTGAAGTAAGAATATAATTAATATTATTATAGACTTTGAGAAGTAAAGGTCATCTCCACACCACGATGAGGCATTGTAAGACGTCATTGGGTTATTATTACTATTGTCATTTTAACTAATAAGAAATGTGTGCTTCTGTGTGCCATCCCTGTTCAAACTCAACTTCTGGTGGGTGCTTGAGATTTTGAAATTTTTAAGGTGAGTCTCATAAAACAAACAGTCAGCTGTGCAGACAAATAGAGAATTCTCTTCCACAACCAACTGGGCAAATAGAGGCAGCTCTTAACTAACCACAATAATAGAGGATGGACCATGCAAAGTCTAGACCTCATAGGATTATAGACTTTAAGATCTGGAAAGGGCTTCAGAGAACATTTATTTCCATCCACTCATTTTACAGATGAGGAAACTGAGACTCAGGGAAAATGAAGTGACTCATCTAAGGTTCACCCATGAAGTGAGAATCAGAGGTAGAATCTGAACCCCGATGCTTTGACTTTAGAGTCGATGTTGTGTGATTTTTTTCCTCCACTATGCTACTTGGCACTTTGTGGTTACCATTTTTACCCATTGGGTTTGGTTTTCTCCCCCTTGCCCCTTTTATATATCAAAGTATAGCTGGAGTTTTGTAGCAGAGAAGAGTGAAATCCCATTAGAGTATATGCTCCTTGAGGACAGGGGACTGTCTTTCTTTTTTTTTTTAGTATTTATATCCCCAGTACTTAGCACAGTGCTGGGCACATAGTAGAAATTTAGTAAATTTTTATTGACTATTGACTGAATCTCAGCTCTACCACAAGCCAGCAGCTGAGCAAATTGCTTAACCTCTCTGGGGCTCATTTTCCCCATCTGTAATATGAAAGGGTTGAACCAGATCTCAGGATCACAGATTTAGAGCTGGAAGGACCTCAGCAGTTATCCACACTAGCCCCCTCAAAGTTCCCAGCTAGCTCGCCATCTAAGCTACTAAGACTATTATCTCTCTCTAGATCTGTCTTCTCCCTTGTGAAATAGGAGATTGGACCCAATGACCTCCAAGTTCCCTTCCAGCTCTGACAGATTGATTCTTAGATTATCCTGCCTAGCGTAGAAAACGCTGAACCCAGAATGAGAGAGACCTAGATTCTAGGACCATACATTTAGCGATGAAGAGGACCTGCCAGTCCAACCCACTCATTTTACAGATAAGGAAACAGATATTTCACCGATGAGGAACTGGAGGCAGGCAGAGGTTAAGTGACTTGCTCAAGGTCACACAGTTAGTAAGTGACTAAGTGAGACAGAGTTTAAACTCAGGTTTTCTTACCTCCAGCACTTTGGCCATGGTGCCGGCTAGCTGCCTGGATTCCTCAGTGTCCTGGCGCTAACATCGTCCAAGGCACCATCTCACTAAATTTCACTTTCCTCATTGGTAAAGCAATGGTGCTAATTCTTGCACTTAGGGGGTTGAGATGATACTTTGTAGACTGTAAAGCGCTACATAAATGTCAGCTCTAATTATTATTATTATTATCATCCTAATTATTATTGTTGTTGCTGTCATCATTATTATTACTATCATTGCTTTCACAGTCCACTGACAGAGGATGATGTTAAGCCTCACACCCTGAGCAAACCCTGGAATGAGCAGCAACAACCAGCCGTGGTGGAGACAAAGGTCAGTGGATGGGGTCACAACCCTTATTCCTGGTCCAGGGTATAAACCATCCTCTTACACCTGATCCTTTACTCTAGTGACTCATGGACCATAATAACATGCCCTTTAGGATACTAGACATAGCATCTCTGGATGTGGTAGTAGCCATTCACATCCATCTCTTTTGGTAAAACATCCCCCTAAGTGCATTTGATCTTGGCACTCCTAAAACATGGTATAGAGTATAGGGAAACAGTCCTTTGAGTCCTCTGGGAAAGGATCTTCGAGTGTCTTCCTCAGTTCCAGTATCAGTACTAAGCCACATTGGCTGTTAGGTTAATTTCTTTAGTCTTGGTTACTAGAGATCATCGAAAGGAGAAGCATTTGGTATGGTCGCTCTGGGTCCCAAGGACTCACAGTTCTTAATTGTGACTCAGTACAGGCAGTCTAAAGTTTCAACAGAAGAGAAGATGACATATGAAACTTGACCCCACTCTGTATGCTTCCTCTATCCCTATCAAGACCCATCAGTAAGGGGAAAGGGTTTCTTGAAATTTATTCATTAATTTAATGAATGATCATTGACCATCTTCTATGTAAAGCTTAGTATTAGGTGCTGGTTGATCCCACAAGTCCAGGAGACTTGGACCTTGTCATTAGATGGAATACACTTGGCAAACCCTGACTAACCTGTCACCTTGTTTCCTCCTATCTAGAAGACTCCTGAGCCCCAAGCCAAGGGGACCCGTGCTATATCAGGCTGTCCAAGGCATGTGAGGATTAAAAACTGGGGCAATGGAATGACATTCCAAGACACTCTACACCACAAAGCCAAATTGGTGAGTAAGTAGCCCAAGGCTTTAAAACCATCCTTCTCAAAAAGGACTGGAGGAGGGTTCCATACCCTGTGCTTGCTACCCCACAAAAGACAGCAAAACAGATACAGTCTTTGACCTTCAGGAGCTTATGGCCACATGCTATTTAACCTGTCACAAACACCCAGAATATCAGCAGAGAATTACACCCCAGAACCAGTTAGAGGATGAAGCAAATGTTAATTAGCATATCTTAAGGAACCGTGCAAATGGAGGATGGATAATCCAGAGCTTGAGAGAATCTCCATGTTATTGGATTGCCTTCAAAGATTTTTTTTTCTTCCCAGTCCATTTTCATTCCTACTGAAGTTTACTTTAAAGCACCCTTTAAGGTCCTCTGGATGCCCCATATACAAACAAGCCAGGAAGCAAGAAGGAAATTGTGGGAGCTCCAACATGACCATTTGAAAATGAGAAAGTGGTTAAGCTGGAGGCACTAAATAAGGAGTGGGTTCATGTCTATTCTGAACCTGAGGCTTTTCAGGAGGACAGATTGGGTGACCAACCATACAAGGATCCTAGCTCCTAGTGTTTCATGTTCCCCATCTGTAAAATGAGGGCACCTGATGGATGGACATGAAGGTCCCTCCCAAAGGTACATCTATGATCTTCCATCCGCTCTTTTTTCAGGCTATTGATTGCCAGTCCAAGACTTGCCGTGGGTCAATCATGACCCCCAAGAGTATGACAAGAGGGACTAGAGACAGCCCGATCCCTCCAGGAGAGCTTCTACCTCAAGCCATCGAGTTTGTCAACCAGTATTACGGCTCCTTCAAAGAGTAAGACCATTTCCCTTTCCAGCTCTTCCCTCCCCCCACCCCTGCCCCCTGCTTCTCTCCGTGTGTGTGTGTGTGTGTGTGTGTGTGTGTAGGACAGATCATTCACCAGGTTATGCACTCATCCGGTGCCCACCATGCGCTTAGCACAGATGTTCAAGGAGCTTGTTAGCCCAGACAGAACTACTTTTCTCCTCAAAACTCCCAAAGCTCATCTAGTGCTAAAAAATGAGTGAACCTGGACTAAGTTAGGGCTGGGAGAGGGAAGAATTACAAGGTCATGGGATTACAGATTTATAGTTGGAAGAAACTTTAGAAGTCATCGAATCCAACTCTCTCTTTATTCGACAGATGAGGAAACTAACGGCCAAATGAAATGATTTGTTGTCCAAGGTCACTCAGGACGTAAAGGGCGGAGGGGAATTGGACAGAAGGATCGGTGCTCTTTCCACTGTCTCACCCTGCCTCCCTGAGAATTTTCTGGAATATTCTATAGATATTCAGCTCACCTGGTGACCAAAGGTCATTTTGAGTCTTAGACTTTCTTGCTTTTCTTGTTGTTTAGTCATTTCAGTTGTGTCTGACTCTTCATGACCCCATTTAAAGTTTTCTTGGCAAAGCTACTGGAGTGGTTTGCCATTTCCTTCTCCCGCTCATTTTACAGGTGAAGAAACTGAGGCAAACAAGGTTAAGTGACTTGCCCAGGGTCACACAGCTAGTAAGTGTCTGAGGCCAGACTTGAACTCAGGAAGGCGACCCTTCCTGACTACAAGCCTGGCACTTAAACACTTCATTCTCTAGCGGCTTTCTGTTTCATCCACAAGGATTTTTTCCTCCCTAGCCTTCCTGTTCTTAGGGAGATCCTGTTAGTCTTTCTTCAGCAGGTCAAATGACTAATACGGATTATTATGAAGCCCAGTGAGACCAGGTCATGGACCAGCACAAGGCAGCGAGTTTGTCAAGGAAAACTCAGTTATATGGCCACAGACGACACACCCTGGATCCCCAGAAGGGGATTGGGGAAAGTTGTGCAACTAATACAACACAGCTCATGCCTACTATTGCAAAAGCAACCCAAATGGGTCCATCCTACTGATGATGATGGGCGCCATCTTTCTTCGGTCTGCATGTTAGAAGGAGCACTGTACCTTGGGATTTAGGAACCCTATTTCATTGTTCGACATCAGACAGTATTAGAGTCTTTGTGGACCTCAGTCTTCTTGTCTGTAAGATGAACATCATAATCCTTCCCTCCAGAGCTGTGACATCATAGGCTATCGGAATTGGAACGGATCTTGGAGGTCATCACTCCCTCATTTAACAGAGGAGAAAAATGAGACCCAGAGATGGGGAGCGACTTACTTAAGATCTCAGAGAAAATAAATAGCAGAGCCGGGAAAAGAGCCCTTATGAGATAGTAGGTGTTGTTAACATTTCGAAATCTTTAGCAGAGAAGAGATCAAATAAGACAGAAGCAGTATGGTACAGTGGAAATAATGCTACATTCGGGGGTAGAGGGGGGCAAAGGGTTCAAATGCTGATGCCACCACTTTCTCCCTCGGGCAACATAACCACTTTGGGCCTCAGTTTCCCCATCTGAAAATGGGGCTATTAGACTAGCTGGCTTCTGAAGTACCTTCTAACCCTGGGTCTATGATCCTTTCGACTGAGATTATGTAGGTGTTAACATTCCAAAAAGCATGAAGCGCTATACAAATGGAAGATAGGACAATAACAGCTATTATTAATAACAATGATAATAATGATTATGATAAGAGGTGATAGGTGGATAGCCAGAATCCTCCTCATGATGTAGGAAGAAAATTCAATGAAGGAACCTTAGGATGGACTCCCCATTGCGAGCTTATGGGAGGTCACAGCCAAAAGTCACTCAATGTGAACAGGCAAGAAGACCTTGGGCAAGTCATTTTGTCTCTATGGGCCTCAATTTCCTTATCTGTAAAATGAGGGAGTTGAATTACGGGCCTCAACTCTGAGCTCTCTTCCAGGTCTATAGCCTAAATCCTAAGACTAGAGTGAGTTCCTTGGGAACATTGACTATCTTGCCTTTTTCTGGGGGGAGGGAGGGAGGGTATTCCCAGAATTTAGCTCAGTATTTAGCACATAGAAAGTGTTTAATAAATACTTTTTTATTCATTCATTCATCCATCCATCCTAGGTTTGGGTGATTAATAGTAGTGTTCTGTCAACTTGTGTCATTCCCATCATCAACCAGGCCTAACTTGGGTCTGCGTGTTTGTGTATGGGAGGTAGGGGGATGGGAGGTAAGGAGAAGAGATATTATTAGCCCTCCAAAAGTTCTGTTTTGGAGTTGATTTCCTGTTGTATGCTCTTGTGAGCCCGTGTTCCACTTGTGTCCTTGGGGATAAATATTTTCGAGTGTTTTGTCTCTGATCTCCTTTTTATCAAGGAAAAGGAGGGTTGTTGAGACCGTCTTCATTGACCAAAAGGCCACTTTGTTCTGACTTGTCCATCCTATCCGTCATCAAGGCTGACTTTGTTCTTGAAATACTTCTCCTCGTTGCCATTTCAAGTGTCTTTGTGTGAGGATTAGAAACTTCAAGGTTGCTGTGATAGCGTGTGTGTGTGTGTGTGTGCATGTGTGTGTGCCTGTGCGTGTTGAAGCATTTCAGTTCTGAATCCATTCTCTCATGACACTTACTGACGTCTGAAACTAAGGGACATCGTAGTCCAGGGTGAAGACTTGACATCATAGACCGATCATTGGAAGGGGCCTTAAAGATCATCTAGTTCAATCCCCTCACTTTATAGATGAGGAAACTGAGGTCCAGGAAGGGGGAGTGCCATAGCTTCAGAGCTGGAAAGGATCTCAAAAGCCATTGCATCTAAAAGAAACTGAGGCCCAGAGAAGTAAAATGACTTTTATGGTCATAGCTATAAAGCTGGAAGGGGTTCAGTCAACCCCCACACATACATACACAGCTCTTATAATTTTACAAATAGGGAGACGGAGATCCAGGAAATTTGACTTACCCAATGTCAGATAAGTATTAAGTAGTAAAGTCAGTATTTGAACTCAGGTCCTCCGACCCCAAACTTCTTTACCTGACTTCCAAAGTTATTGCAAGTTCCAGGTCTAGGTTCAATACCCATATGTATTTGTCAGAGTGAGTTGGCCATAGATTTAGGACTGAAAGGGAGCTTAGAAATGAGCTGGTTCAACCCTGAAGATAAGGAAATTGAGAGCCAGATTGGGGTGGGGGAAACTTGCCCAAAGTCACATAGCTGGCATGGGGCAGAGTTAAGATTTGAATCCAGATGCTGTGACCCCAAATCTAGCCCCTTTCTCATAGCACTGTGCAAGCATCAGGGGTTTGCAGATGGCTACTCCGCATCTTGTTGGAAGATGGCACAGACAGAGGCAGGGCAGCCCCTCATCTCAAGGAGCTTATGATTCATATTTGGAATTTAAAGTCGAGAGCCCAGGATTGGGACTTTGGAGCAAGAGGAAGTATAGTTCAGTGGCAAGAGCACTGGGCTTGGATTTGGAGGAAATCATGAAAATTATGGCTCTGCTCCTTTTTTCCTATGCATCCAAAGGCAAGCCAATTACTTTCCCAGGCCTCAGTTTCTTCATCTGTAAAATGAAGGAGTTGGGTTCCATATCTAAGGTGCCTTCCAACTCAAAACCCAATGAAATTTGCAATGGAAAGAGCACTGACTGTCTAGTTAGAGAACTTGGATTCAAATTCTAACTCTGATACTTACTACCTAAGTGACCTTGGGCAAGTCAATGCATCCCCTTGGGCCTCAGTTTCCCTAAATATAAAAATATGAGGTTGAACCAGATGTCCCCTGCAGCCCTTTCCAACTCAAGATCTATGATCCTATTATCCTGAGTGTTGGGGGCAAAGGGGGAATGGGGGGGGAGGAGGCGTTGCTCTCTATTGTTCTAAAGAGGTTTCAATGAGCAGCAATTTAGTGTGGGCTGGAAATGCCGTTGAATTTGAAGTCTGAGTCTCTGGGCTCAAATCTTGACTCTGCAGCTTCCTAGCTGTGTGACCTTGGGCCATTCACTACCCATCTCTGATTTTCAGCATCCCAGACTGTAAACTGAGGGCTTGAATGAGCTGATCCCTTACCTCCCTTTTCTCGAGCTCTGACAAACACCTACTCATCCTGAAGCTATACTCACCAATTTTGTCTGCTGGATAAAGAAAAATAGACTTTGGTTTTTATGGAAATCACCTAGTGAATATGCTAGGTTTTGAGGGGATAGTATTCATTAGGCTACGAGCTCCTCAAGAGCGGGGAATGGCTTTTGCTTTTTTTTGTTTCCCCAGCACTTAGCACGGTACCTGGCACATTGTAAGTGCTTAATAAATATTTGGAGCAGCTAGGTGGCACAGTGGATAGGGTGCTGGACCTAGAGTCAGGAAGACTTGAATTTAAATCCAGCCTCAGACACATACTAGCTATGTAACCCTGGGCAAGTCACTTAATCTTGTTTGCCTCAGTTTCTTCACCTATTAAACGAGCTGGAGAAGGAAATGGCAAACCATTCTAGTAACTTTACTAAGAAAACCCTAGATGGGGTCATGAAGAGTCAGATGTGACTGAACAACAACAATAAATATTTATTGACTGACTAGCGAATATTGCCCAGTGACAGCTAATTCTTTCTTAAGTTACATTTTGGTTCCAATTCTAGCAATCATACTTTGGTTTCCAATTTTTTAGATTGAATTCATTTAAAATTAAAAGTAATTCCCTTAGTGAGCAACAGCACAGTGTAGTGGATAGAAGGCTGGCCTTGGAGTCTGGGAGCAGGGGGCCCCCTCCTGCTTCTGACACTCACTACCTTGGTGATCACAGGCTGGTCACTGAATTTCTCATGTTATAGGCAAGTTGCACACCTGCATTGGTGAAGGGAGTCTCCACACAGGGACTTCCCCATAAGGTTGAAATCACAGATCTTCGGGGAGGGGGGAAATAAGTCAGTTCCCATTGTTTCTATTCCTGATCTTTTCCTGTCCCATAGGGCAAAAATAGAGCAGCATTTGGCCAGACTGGAAGCAGTAACAAAGCAGATAGAAACAACAGGAACCTATCAGCTGACGGAAGATGAGCTCATCTATGCAACCAAGCAGGCCTGGAGAAATGCCCCTCGGTGCATCGGGAGGATCCAGTGGTCAAACCTGCAGGTGAACTTCTGGGGAATGAGATGGGGAGGCTGTGATCTCAATGGGAAGGGCAAGGGGAGGGGAGGCACTCAGACCTCCTGGGACAGCTCCCCCAGGACACACCAGTTGGTTTGGTAGCTGTTAGCACAGCTGCATAGATCATTGGTCAAAAGTCCCAGGTGCTGAGTTTTAAATATCAGCTCCCAAGGAGCATTGACTCACTCCGGCTTCCTTATGCCATCCAGCACCTCTGGCTGGGTGTGGATCGTGGACTGTTTGTTAATGTAGACACATCAATACTGTAACTGATTTATAATATTGTATAATACAAATACTATTGTCCCTACAATACCTGGCCATTAATCAAACATTCATTAAGTGCTCACTATGTGGAAGGTGAGAGACAACAGTACATAGTGGAGAGTTGATCTCGAAGTCATAAAGAGCTGAGTTCAAACCTTGCCTCTGACATATACTGGTTGTATGACTCTGGGCAAGTCACTTGAACCCTTGGTGTCCCAAGTAACTCTCTAAGGAAAGCTACTGACTCACATTTGGAAGAGTTTCCTCATCTGGAAGTTCCTGATACCAATGAAATCACAGTGTCTAATTTTCTGTTTAGGAGGAACTATGGAAAAGAATGACAATGATCAGGAATGAAATGAGATGTGCTAGGAGGGCAGGGTTTTCATTTTCCCAGCTGATTAAAACATCTGCTGCTTTGGAAGCTATTCGTGCTATGGCTTGATACAAACAGAGAGATGTTGAAGTTACCCTGGGTGACTTGTTAGATTCTGACAATAATTGGGCGAGGACCCACATTTATACTGTCATTGATGACCTTGGTCTCGGGGTTCGGTGGGGTCTGTAGGTGTTTGATGCTCGGAACTGCACAACAGCCAAGGAGATGTTTGAGCACATCTGTCAGCACATCCGCTATGCAACCAACAATGGAAATATCAGGTGAAGCCTTTTTTCCCTTAAACCCCCCCACCCCGTAATCTCCAACTTTTAAGTCATTAGAAATGTTTATGGGAAAGGCATCCCAGGGATGTAGCCCAGGGTTACCTGGGAAATTAAGATAGAAAGAAAAGGATGTCAGATTCCCTGAGAAGTAGGATGCTTAGCCCTACCCTGGTATTCATCATCTCTACATCTGGGTTTTTTTTTGTCTCCCTCTAGCTTGGAGTCACTTTGAGGGGAAGAAAGAAAGAAAGAAAGAAAGGAAGGAAGAAAGAAAGGAAGGAAGGAAGAAAGAAAGAAAGAAAGAAAGAAAGAAAGAAAGAAAGAAAGAAAGAAAGAAAGAAAGAAAGAAAGAAAGAAAGAAAGGAAGGAAGGAAGGAAGGAAGGAAGGAAGGAAGGAAGGAAGAAAGAAAGAAAGGAAGAAAGGAAGGAAGGAAGGAAGGAAGAAAGAAAAAAAGAAAGAAAGAAAGAAAAAAGAAAGAAAGAAAGAAAGAAAGACAGGAGAGAGGGAGTGAAGGAAAGGAGGGAGGGAAGGAAAAGGAGAGAGGAAAGAAAGAAAAAGTGAGAAAGAAAACTTGTAGTTTGGATTTCCATTTAGTAACTTCTAGACTAAAAGACTGGGGGTGCTTAAACATAGAATCATCATAGATTTAGAGTTGGAAGAAAACTTCAAGGTCATTTGGGCCAACCCTCTTGTTTTTTACAGAAGGGGAAACTGAGGAAAGTCATGTGACTGGCCTGATGCACTAAATGGCAGTGCCAAGATTTGGCCTTGAGTTCTCTGACTCCAAATCTAGTCTTCTATCCATTGTGCCACGCTGCCCCAATATAATCATTTGGAGGTGGTTATGGAGTGGATTTGTAAGCTTAGGGTGAACTGTTTTCTGTATGAAGTCCTGTCTGTAGGGCAACAAGCATCTATCAAGCACCTACCATATACTGTGTACCTACTGTGTACCAGGCACTAAGTGCTGGGGATACAAAGAAAATCAAAAACAGTCCCTGGCCTTGAGGAGCTGACAGTCTAATGAAGGCACCAACATGCCAACAGCTATGTACCAATAGCATATGTACAGGGTGGATGGAAGGCAGTCTCAGAGGGAAGGTGCTAACATGAAGGAAAACCAGGAAAGGTTTCTTGTAGAAGGCGGAATTTTGGTGAAGATTTGAAGAAGCCAGGAGGAAGAGAATTCCAAGCGTGTGGGAACAGCCAGTGAAAACACAGCCTGGAAAAAAGAGTGTCTTGTTTAAGTTACAGCCAGGCCAGTGTCACTGGATGGTAGAATGTGTGGAGGGTGGTAAATGTAAGCAGACTGAGAAGGGAAGAGGGGCCAGGCAATGAAGAGATTTAAAACATAAACAGGACTTTAGAGTTGACGTTGGAGGTGAGAGCTGTTGGTATGTAATGAGTAGGAGGTGACAGGGTCAGAGGTGTGTTCTAGGAAGATCGTTTTGGCAGCTGGGTGAAGGCAGAGGCAGATGAAGTGACCTTTGAGGCACTTTTTGCCTAGGGTTGCTTACCAGTTGGAATCCTGCCCCTTAACGAATCCAGAACTGATGTGGTTGTGCTATACTGGAGACAATGGTTAACGCCATCCCCTGACTCTTCCCATCATAAACCCAAGGGGCAGAGGTCATACTGAAACAGAGGCAGAAGCAACATAATACCGTGGAATAACCAAAGGCTTTTTAGTGAGGAGATGTGGATTCAAATCCTGGTTCTGTTACTGACCATGTGTCCTTAGGCAAGTCAATTCATTTATGTGGGACTCCGTTTCCTTATTTGTAAAAGAAACTAGTGAACCAGATGACCACTGAAGTCCCTTCCCACTCTGAATCTGTGACCCTGTTAACATATAAGATTATCTCATACAATCTCCTCATTATCGGGCTCTCCACAATGACAAGTGCCCACCCACCCTAAACTATCTTGTATTTATTTTCTATTTTTTCAGCATATACTTGTGTCCGCACATGTTGTCTCCCTCACAGAATTTAAATGTCTTGAGGGCAAGGACTGTTTCATTTTTGTCTTTTTCTTCCCAGAGCCTAGCTCAGCAGCTGGCACACAGTAGTTGTTTAATAAATGGTTAGTGATGGATTAAATGACATGGTGGAAGGAGTGTTGGCTAAGGCAGGAGAGGATCTTGGTTCATATTCCACCTCTGAAGTTTACTGCATGTGTTAAGTGACTTAGATGTCACAACCTCCCTGGGCCTCAGTTTCCTTATCTGTAAAATGTGGTGGTAAGACTGGATGACCCCTGAGATCCCCTTCAGCATCAGATCTATCCAGAATCCCAATTGAGTGCCAGAGTAGGGCAAGCATCACAAAAGGACAAAAGCTGAGGAAGGCAGCCCAGAGGTCGAGTTTCCAGGGTCTCAACCTACTACTGCTTCCTCCTTTTGCTGCATCCTCCCCAAACCTCAACCCCAAAGTACCCCCATTTCCTTCCTTGCCATTGAGTCCAAGCCTCCTTGCGAAGGACAAGAAGGACCATTACCCTCTTGAGTGGTGTGTCTTCCTAGACCCCCATTAGTTACGTCAGTTTCCAGGAGATCTGACTGGAGGCCAATATTACTTGCCAAACAAACATTCTCCCTTTTTCTTGGGCAGGTCTGCCATTACCATCTTTCCCCAGCGGAGTGATGGGAAACATGACTTCCGGGTCTGGAATGCTCAGCTCATTCGATATGCTGGCTACCAGTTGCCAGATGGCTCCATCGTAGGCGATGCTGCTAGCATTGAATTCACTCAGGTGTGTAGATCTTCTCAAACTCCAGGTGGGAAAGCCAATGGACGGGGGCCAGGGGTGGGATGTTCCAGGGCAAGCAGCAAGAGGGCCCAATAACCATCCATGTCAATCACTATGTTGTCCTCTCCCTCTCCAGCTGTGTATAAACTTGGGATGGGTGCCCAAATATGGCCGCTTCGATATCTTGCCTCTTGTGTTACAAGCCAATGGCCAGGATCCAGAGGTCTTTGATATCCCGAAAGACCTTGTCCTTGAGGTGGCTATAGAACATCCCAAGTAAGTGGACCAGGCAGAAGGATTGGAAGTTTGGTCTTTACTGCATGCCTCATCCTGCACTAGCACACTTTTATAGGCTTTAAGTCTCTGCCCCCAAAGAACCTTGCAATAATTTTCCCCTAAAACTGAAGTGATATCCAATTAAAGCCAAGAGGGAATCCCTTTCATAGACTGCCATATCACAGCTACCTTCTCTAGTAACTATGTGCTTTCATCTTGGAGCGAAGACATATGAAACCATGTTGATATATGAGGGAAGAGTGGAAATGAGGAGGACTTTAGAGAGAGGCTTCTATTGCTCCACCAGCCACCCCATCCTGGATCCCCTCTCCAAGCATCCCTTGGAGGAACTTTCATTCACATTTAGCACTCCAGGGACCCAAATTGGGGGCTGCACCTTTTTGTCAGGTCCTCTTAGAGCTGTAGCCAGGGTGAGAATGACTGGAATTTTCCCCCAAGATGCCAATACAAGGGGCATGTCTCCCCAGTCCCTGCCTACCCTCCCTAACCCTTGCAGCACCATGAGGGTCCAGCCTCAGGGATCAGCTTTTAAAAACCCCATCCATTATCCCATCAATGCCCCTGCTTAAGTGACCATGGGCACAGTCTTATCCTGCACACCAAGGGCAGATATGAAGAAACCAAAGATTTTTTAAAAGGAAAGAAAGAATAGCTACCTAGTGATTTCAATTCCCCTCAGGCAGCTAAAATCTCTTGGCCTGATCTTAATAACAGCCAACAATAGGTAGTGGTCTAAGACTGACCAAGGGTTTATGTACCTTATTCTACTGGAGCATCCCAAGGACCCTGTGGGGTGGGGATTACAAATCATATGATGAGAACTTGGTAGATTTAGAGATAAAAAGGTCATATGACAAAGGATTAGAGCTGGAAATGTTATCAAAAGACATCTGGTCCAATCCCCTCACATTACAGATGAAGACACTGAAGCCCAGGGAAGTTGTTAAGTGACTTCACCAGAGTCACACAGAGAGTAGGAAAGTCAGGATTTGAATCCAGTTGCTCTGACCCCAAACCCCATAGTATATACATACATATATATATACATATATATGTATATATCTGTATGTATGTGTATATATATATATATATACACACACACACACACATATATATATATATTTCTATTTAAGAAACATTTGCTCTTCCTTCCACTCCCCTGCTTTGGGGGAAAAAAGCCTTATAATGAAATAACATTGTATCCTGTTTTCTTTCCCTATCCTATATTATCTGTTTCTATTATTTTTATCCCCATTTTACAGATGAGGAAATTGAAGCTCAGGGACTTGCTTAAAGTCACAGAACTAAGTAACGGTCAAGTCAACTAGCATTTATTAAGTACCGATTTTGTGCCAGACACTGTACTAAACACTAGAAGTACAAAGAAAGACACAAATAATCCCTGCCCTTAAGGAGCTCATAATCTCAAGAGGATGCCAGAGAGTAGGATTGGAATATATGTTTTCCTGACTACAGGTCCAGAGCTCTGGCTACCGCACCATATTGCTTCTCTGGCCCAAAGGCAGAGAGTTTTTTTGGTGGTGTGCTTCTGAAAGTATCTCTGGCCAAAAAGGGATGCCATAAGATCATAGGAAACTTAGAGGTCACAGATCAAATCCCCTCATTTTACAGATGAGGAAACTGAGGCATAGAACGATTAAATGTTTTACTCACTTAAGAAACACATGGAAGTGCTGAAATTTGAACTCAGGCTCCCAAACCAGGACACTTCCCACTACTCCACATTGCCTCCCTAGATCATCTAGTCCCACCTCCTCATTTTACAGATGAAGACATTGAGGCCCAGAGGAGGGGGAGAGAAGTAATTTACCTGGGTTTGCACTGAGAGTAAGCAATGTTTGAAGCAGGTCCTTTGGATCTCAATTCAATGCTCCTCAGGGACCCTGAGTTGCAACATCCCCTCCTTCTTCAACAGGTATGAGTGGTTCAAAGAGCTGAATCTGAAGTGGTATGCTCTGCCTGCCGTGGCCAACATGCTCCTGGAAGTGGGTGGCCTAGAGTTCCCCGGGAGCCCATTTAATGGCTGGTACATGGGGACTGAGATCGGTGTCCGAGATTTCTGTGATGTCCAGAGGTACAATATCCTAGAGGTAAGAAAAAAATAGCTAAGCCACCGATGGAAAGAAAAAGAAAAGAAAAATAAGAAACAAAACCCTTGTAACAAACATGTATAGCCAAGCCAAACAAATCCCCACGTTGGCCATGACCAAAAATGTTCTGCATGATGAGTCTGTCTTTCCTCTGTCTACAGATGGACAGTATTCTTCATTATTGGCCCTTTGGAATCATGGTTGATCACTGTGTTGGGCAGAGTTCTTAAGTCTTCCACGACTGTTCATTTTTGCAATGTTGTTATCATCTAAGTTGTACTCTGGATTCTGCTCATTTCACTCTGCATCAGTTCATGCAAGTCTTCCCAGGTTTCTCAGAATCTGTCCCTTTTGACATTTTTCATGGAACAATAGAGCTCCATTACATTCATATGCCATAGTTTGTTCAGTCATTCCCTTACTTTCCAGTCCATTGACACCACAAAAGGAGATGCTAGTAATGTTGTTTTTTTAAATAAGTAAACCCTTTTCCTCTTTCTTTGATCTCTTTGCCATAAAGGGATTAACTGGCCCCTGTCCTCTTGCCTCCCTACAGGAAGTTGGAAGGAGGATGGGTCTGGAAACCCACAAGTTGGCTTCTCTCTGGAAGGACAGAGCAGTGATTGAGATCAATGTGGCCGTGCTGCATAGTTTCCAAGTAAGTCAAGCATTTACAGGGTATTCTCTGTCCTTACTAAGGTAAACATTTCCCTTCCTTTTTCAATAAACAAGCATTTATTGAGCACTTACTATGTGCCACGCACAAAGAAAGGCAGAAACCCAGCCCCTGCCCTAAAAGAGTTTAAGTTCTCATGGGGGAGACAGTTCCCTTCTAAGTAAGTACACGGGAGATACGGACAGAGTAAATGGAACATAATCAGAGAGGGGAAGACTCCAGGAGTTGTCAGGAATAAGTTCTGCCCTAGGGTTTTGTCTGGAGTGGGGGCCTATGAACACACACAATGGGCTGTTGAAAACATGCTGGAGGACCTCCAGGATAAAGCCCGTTCCTCAGCCCCTCCCCACCGTCAGATCAAACACCTGGTAAGTTCTCTGGAGCAGAAGCCTCTGGCCAGGGATCCCAGGGGCTTAGGTCGTGGTGGCTCCGTCCTCCCTGGGAAGGAAACAGTGCAGCTTGCTTCCCAGTCCCCAGGAGGTATACTTCATACATCATAGATCCAGAGCTGGAAGGTACCTTGGGCCTCATCTAGGCCAAGCCCAACCAAGTGCCAGGGAGGGTAAGTAACTTGATCACGTAAGTAGCAAGCCTCTGTGGCAGGATTTGAACCAGGGCCTTCTTGGCTACAAGACCAGCAATCCATGCACCATGCCAGGCTGAGAAATGAACTGAAATGTTCTGATATTATTAGACTGGGAGTTTCCGGAGAACAGGGTCTGGTTTTTTTTCCCTTTCTTTCCATGCCCAGCATTTAGCACAGTGTGTGGCACATAGTAGGTGTTTAATAAATACTTATCGACTGACTGATTGACCTGCCATGATGTCACTTTAGAGGAAAGGCTTCTCCCTTTGTTTTACAGATGAGAAAACTGAGACTGAGAAAGTTTAAATGAACTGTCCAAGGTTATCCAGCCAATTGGGAATAACTGGGCTGCAAATTCCTACACTAGTGCTCTGGTGTTGTTGTTGTTGATGTCATTTGTCCTTTGTTCTCAAAGAGAACCGTGACATAGGGAAGGTGATGTCATGACTTGCAAGTGAATTGGGTTTAAGTGAGGCAGGGCTGTGCTCCTCAGGAGCCATCTGCGTCCAGCAGCAAGACATAGATCAGGATGACTGGAGTTGGCCCCAGATGCAGTGGGAGATCTTGGCCTTTTTAAGCTAAGATCTTTCCCAGGCCTCAGTTGATCTGAGGTAACACCCATCCAGTGATTAAGGCTAGGTAAGAAATGGAGCTATGGGGAAACTAATTCTTTCTGCCTATTCTGTTTTTTAATAAGACAATGATTAAAAAAAAAAAGAAACTTTCTTTTCCCCTAGTACCTTTGCTTTCAAAGAGCTTTCACATCTTTGAGAGAATCAAATGCTACAGATCAGAATAATTCGAATTCCTTTTTCATCTCATAATGGGGATATTGTCTCATACCATAGATGGGAGCTAGCTCAGTTGAGAAGCTCAAGCTATGGACAAGTCCCGTAACCTGTGTGAGCCCCAATTTCCTCTCTTGTAAGATGAAAGGAGTTGGGTTGTCCTTCCAGCTTTGGATTTCTGTGATTCTACCAGTCTATGAAACTGTCTTTTCTTCCAGAAAGAGGTCATACCATAGAGTCACAGAATTTCAGAGTTGGAAAGGACCACAGAGGCCAAGAATTCCCTCTAGGAAATTCCCATCAAGTGGTTATCCAGCCTTTGGTTAAAGTCTTCCAACGAGGGCAAGCCACTCACTGCCAAGACATACCTCCTAATCTGCTTTCCTTGCTAGGAAATGTTTCCTTACACTAGTCTAAATTAGCCTCTGCAATTTCCACTCAGAGGTCATAGTGCTTTCTTCTCAGACCAGATAGAAAAAGTCAAATCCCTCTTTCATATGACAGCTCTTCAAATGCTTGAAGGCAGTCCTCCTTTCCTCCTTAAGTCTTCTCTGAATATTCCCTGCTCCTTCAATAAACTATTGAATGATGAGACCTTAAAGCCCTGCTCATTATCTTGCCCCTCCCCTATGCTCCAAGGGCAATGTGGCATAGTGGGGGAAGCCATGTACCTTGAGAGTCAGGAAGTCCTGAGTTCAAATCCTGCCTCAAATGCTTAGAACCTCTGTGACTGTGGATAAGTCATTTGACCTGCTTCCTCCTCTGTAAGATGTGGGATTCAATGACCTCTAAGGTCCTTCTCAGCTCTATGACCCTGTTCCCCATAGCAGTTGTGTGACCTTGCGCATGGCTCATAACCTGTCTGTGCCTCTGTTTCCTTGTTGGTTAAATGAAAGGGTTGGACTCAGTGGCCTTTCAAGACCCTTCCAGCTTGAAAGTTATGATCCTCTGGGCCAATGACTAGACAGTAGCCCCAATGAGGAAGTGGTTTCTAGCGTCTCCTTTGACATAGGTAGTAAACTGCAGGCCATTACTATAATACCTTCCAATGCTAGAAGCCTAGACAAAGGCTCTGGCCCTTCATTTGGAAAAGATAAAATATCATCCACAGACTTTTGAAGGGAAAAGATCAACGTGTTTAGAATCTTCCTGGGGAGAGATTTGTTTTTCTCCCAAACAGACAAAAAGAAGTCTCCTCCCTTTTCTGAGCCTCAGTTTCCTCTTCTGTAAAGTGAGGTCAGGTTAGATGACCCAGCTTTGGCTGGAATGTCTGTAGATGGAGCCACTTGTTCCTATGGGGAGTGGTGCCGTCGACAAGCCCCACTGGACCTGATTCAAGAAGTGAATCACTAACAGTCAACGAGCCCCTTCAGACATTTCATTAGCAGCTCTGCCACCGATCACACTTCTTGAAACAGCAGCAGATTGAGTGAGAAGTGTGGTTAAAACAAATTAGAGGCATTTCTCACACCATCTCTCCACGGCTGGGGTAACAAAAACAGTCAAAGATACTGAGACATCCCAACAGAGAGGGGAAAAAAAAAAAGTGTCAAGCCCAACTCCCTATCAAACGGCTTCTCTCCAGGGTGCTGATGGCAGCTGGTGATGAGAGGCTGGCATCAGTGAGTCAAACCAGACGTGTCTGAGATGAGCTTCACCTCCCTGGTTCTCAGTTTCTACCTCTGTAAAGTGGGAGGCTTATTTCAGATGATTTCTTCCATTAAAGGCATGATTAGAGATTTTCTTTTTGTAGGTAGGGCAAATAGTACAAAATGGTCTTCAATCTCAGTGGTGGAAACTGTGGGGTTATCAATGAGGCACTCACTTGGGGTGGAGCCTCATGGTTTCTTATTTTAAGTAATCTTTCATTTGATAAATAATATTTTATTTTCCCAAGTTGCATATAAAGACAAAATTTAACTTTCATTTTTTAAAAAATTTGAGTTCCAAATTTTCTCTCTCCCTCCCTCCCTGAGACCACAAGCAATTTGATATAGGATATATGTGTTCAATCATGCAAAATATATTACCATATTAGTCATTTAACTAATCTTTCTAATTAAGCTCCCTCCTCAATACGCTGCTGAAAGACTGTGAGTGCTATCATCCTTCTAGATTTCGGTGCCTAGGACAAAGTCCTGGTTGTCTCTGCCCTAGTTATAACTACGGCATTCTAGGGCTATGCTTCTATGAGCTCCCTAGGGGTTCTAAAGCCAAGTAGGCTATTTGGTTTCAGCAGAAGTAAGAACCTGGGTACAAACAAGAAAAAAAAAAAAAGGCTGCCTGGAAGCTGACCTAGTCCAGAAAGAGCTGTGTGAGCAGAATTCCTATCCTGGGGAATCCCAAGCCTATTTGTAAAACAGGCAGAATTGAGATAAGGATGGGAAAATGCGCCACCAGCTGTGCTTCTTACTGAGATGTTGAGGCTATGCCCCTTCACTCACTTAATTAAATTCAATTGAATTCAACCAGAATTCAATGAGACAACTTCCTCAGCTTTCGTTCTTCCAGATCTAGTAAGGTCCTAGTACTTGACAAAAGTGCCATTCTTTCACAAATCCTTTCAAAAATCCTTTCACAAGAGTGTCCCCAAGACTTCAAAATACAAGTTAGGATCAAAAAGGATCATAGATCTAGACCTAGAAGAGACCTTAGAGTCTAACCTGTGCATTGTACAGATGAGGAAACTGAGGCCCATAGAGGGTAAGTGGCTTGCTTAGGGTCACACACCTAGTAAATGTCTGAAGCAGGATTCAACCTTCCACCTTCCTGAGTCTGAGCTTTATCCTCTATGACCCCTAGCTACCTCTTAGCTAGGATGGTTATAGCCATACCCCCAAGTATTGATTTAACCTGAAACAGTGTCATCAATCAGCATATATAATTATAATAGTATATATACTATTAATATATATACTATATATAATACTTTATATATAATATACATACTAATAATATATAATAGTGAGAATATAAATTAGAGTTATTGCTAGAAGGGATCTTCTAGACGGGACCAAGTCTAACTACTTTATTTTATGGATGAGGAAACCAAGTATGAGAGAGGTCAAGTGACTTCCCTAGAGTCTCACAGTTGGTAAGTGTCTGAGGCAGGATTTGAACTCAGGTCTTCCTGAGTTCAAGTCTAGCACTCTACCTACCTTGCCACCTGACTCTCTGAGGATCAGAAAGTTGAAATCACTCAATCATGGCTTTCTGCCTTGTATCTTGGCAAACAGCAGACCCCTGGGAGGTACCTCAGAGCCCACCTGTAGGCTCCCAAGTGTTGCAGTGGATATAGTGCGGATTTTGGAATCAAGAAGACCCAGGTTCAAATCTAGCTTCAGACACTTACTGTGTGATCCTGGGAAAATCACTCGACCTCTCTCTGACTCCATTTTCTCATCTGTAAAATGGGGATAATAACACCTACAGGGTTGTAGTGAGGATCAAATGAAATAACACGTAAAGCACTTTGTAAATCCTAGTTATTATTATTGTTGTTGGTTTATCTCATATAACCCCTCATTTTACAGATGAGTAAACTGAGGGCCAAGAAAGTTAAAGTAATTTGCCCAAGGGCATCTAGGAAGTACATGACAGAGGCAGGATTAGACTGAGCTCCTTTTACTGAGTCCAGAGCCAGGACACTGTTCACTGGACCTTATTCCATTAATAGAGGGGATTCCCACACTGGGAGTTCTCTGTACTGACATAATCACAGCTTCTTTGCATGTTTGTATATAATATGGCCAGAATTAACAGTGATATTTCTGGAGACGTTTTTCCTCCAACAAAGTGTTTCCCATTGTTTTCCCATTTATTTCACCTGTTGTTGAATTGTCTCTTTCTTGCTTCATTTAGTTGCAGAATAGTACAGAATAGGACCAAGGATGATTGTCATTCCCATTTTACAGATAGTGAAAAACGAGGCCTGCCTACACTCTTTGCCCCTTGCCAGCACACTGTATCCCCTTGCATTTCCTTTTGTTTTAGAAACAAAACGTCACCATCATGGATCACCACTCCGCAGCGGAATCCTTCATGAAATATATGCAGAATGAACACAAGTCTCGAGGCGGCTGCCCGGCAGATTGGGTCTGGCTGGTCCCACCCATCTCTGGGAGCATCACCCCTGTGTTTCATCAGGAGATGCTAAACTACATTCTTTCTCCTTTCTACTACTACCAGGTAAGCAGGCCCTTGCACTCACTTCCAGTCTCGAGAATATCATCCGGCACTGTGTTCACTTCTGGCCTCCCCTTTCGCTAAGCCTGAAAGAGGTCAGCAGAGGGTCATTTGTCCAACAAGCATATATGAATTGCCTCCTTATGGTGTGCCAGTCACTGCACTAAATGCTAGGGCTATAAAACCAGAAATGGAATGATCCCTGACCTCAAGAAGCTTACATTCTATTGGGGAGGAAACAACCTGTATATACATCAATTAATCAAGTAGCAGGCATTTATTAAGCACCTACTATGTGCCAGACATTGTGCTTGACGCTGAAGATCAAAAGACAAAAAATGAAACAGTGAATCTATGATTCTAAATTATGGAAAAGATTCCCTCTCACCCCAAACAGGAAAGGCGATTATTAGGTGGCAGAGCCAATGATCCATTCTATTCAACCAGCTCTCCTTCTATAGGGAGATTTGTTGTTTATACCGGCTGTCTTCTGCATATTGTTTAATGGCTATAAAATAACAAAATAAAGGCAGCTCATCATGGTGGATAAAGGACCAGGCTTAGAATCAGGGAGACCTAGGTTCAGCCATTCCCCAATTGACCTAGGTTCAAATATAATCTTTGACACTGTGTGACCCTGGGTAAATCACTTAACTTTTCTGAGCCTCAGGCAATTTTGCATGTTGTAGGTAGGTTGTGGGTCTGAGTTGGTAGAGAAGTTCTCATCCTTGGAGTTCCCCATATCACTGAAATCAAATTTTCCTTTGTGAATTTGTGTCAACAGCTGAACTAATATTTCTTTTTAAAAATTATTTATTTTTAGCATTCATTTTTTAAAAATTTTGAGTTCCAAAATCTTTCCCTCCCTCCTACCCATCCCCCACCTGTCTGAGAAGGCAAACAATTTGATATCAATTATACATGTATGTATATGTAAAACATATTTCCATATTAGCCATGTTGCAAAAAAAAAAAGGAAGAGAAATAAAGCGAAAAAATTATGCTTCAATCTGCACTTAGACTCCACCAGTTGTTTCTCTAGAGGTGGATAGCATTTTTCATTGTAAGTCCTTTGGAATTATCTTGGATCATTGTATTGATCAGAGTAGCTAAGTCTTTCACAGTTGATCATCATACAATATTGCTGCCACTGTGTACAATGTTCTCCTGGTTCTGTTCACTTCACTTTGCATCAGTTCATGTAAATCTTTCCAGGTTTTTCTGAAGCATCCTACTCATCATTTCTTATAGCATAGTAGTATTCTATCACAATCATATACCACAACTTGTTCAGCCATTCTCTAATTGATGAGCATTTTTCTCAATTTCCAGTTCTTTGCCATCACAAAAAGGTGCTGCTATAGATATTTTTGTCCTTTTCACTTTTCTTTGCTCTCTTTGAGATACAGACCCAGTATTGCTGGGTCAAGGTTATAAACAGTTTTATAGACCATTGGGCATAGTCCCAAATTTTTCTCTAGAATGGTTGGATCAGTTTACAACTCCACCAACAGTGCATCAGTGTCCCAATTTTTCCATATTTCTCAAGCATTTGTCATTTTCCTTTTCTGTCATGTTAGCAATCTAATAGGTGTAAGGTGGTATGTCAGTTATTTTAATTTGCATTGCTCTAATCAATAGTGATTTGAAGCAATCTTTCATGGGAATATTGATAGCTCTGATTTCTTCTGAAAACTCCCTTGACCTAATCTTTCAAACTAAGTCCATTTCTGAGTTTTCCCACCAGGCCCTTGGCCTCTCTTAGTAAATCCAGATTAATGGGCCTTTTCTCCCTTGCATCACATTTATTTTTCCCCAGGTGGAGGCCTGGAAAACCCATGTCTGGCATGATGAGAAGAAGAGGCCCAAGAAAAGAGAGATCAAATTAAAGGTCGTGATCAAGTAAGTGTGAGAGCACAGTATTTTTAAACCTCAATGGCAGTATCTCCTTCCAATCAATTCCTACCAGCCTCTTTTCTCACTTCTCTCCATCCACTCCCCAAGCCTGGAGGTGGGAGGGATCAAAGAAGAATGGCTCTCTTTTAACACTATCTAATAAATTCAACTTTCTTGGGTACAATTCACTTTTGGAGTTGCTGTCTGATCTGTCTTCCTCACTTCTCTTCCCCAAAGTGGCTAGGAAGGGAGTAAGTAAGAGGAAGGGCAGGAGAGGAGAATAATGGTCAAGGTTGGTGGGTGGACAATCATTTGAGTTACTAACTCCTATGACTTCAAGCCTTGTCTCCCTCCATCAACCTCTCCCATCCCCAAGCCCTCCCTGCTTTATGTGCGACCACTCACCCAGGAATCTGTCTGTCCATCCCCACAGAGCAGTGTTCTTTGTCTCCGTCCTGATGCGCAAGATCATGGCAGCTCGGATCCAAGCCACAGTGCTCTTTGCGACGGAGACAGGCAAATCAGAAACTCTGGCCAGGGATTTGGGAGAGTTGTTCAGCTGCGCTTTCAACGCCAAGGTAAATTGTTGGTTCCTTCCAAACCCACACAGAGCTGTTCCTTTTAACCTGAATGTCTATCCAACCTGTCAGATTATCTGTACTGAGTAAATAGAAGGAGTGTAGGGATGGGAAGATGTGATATTTTGGGGGTAATTTACACTATTCATGTTCTAGAGGCTCAGTCTGGGGTCCACATCAGTCACCTTTTGTGAAGACTCCTTGGGGTGAGGCAGATCGAACTTTATGGAATGCATATAGGAGTTAAGTCATTCTGCAATCAGAATCATAGAATTCAGAGTTGCAGGGGTCCTTAGAAATTATCTAATCCGGTAGTGTCAAACACAAGTAGAAATGAATACCTGGGGGGTGTATCTTGATTTAGAAAACCACAAATTATCATTATTTCTGTTGTATTTTATTTTAATTTATATTGTTAAGCATTTGCCAATTCCATTTTAATCTGGCTTGGGCTATACTCAGGAATTTTGCAGGCCTCTTGGCCAGCTGACCTTGAGTTGGACACCTCTGAATCCATCCTCTACCCAAATCATGAATTCAGTCTACAACATCCCCAAGTGGTCACTAGCCTCTGCTTAAAGACCTCTATTGATGGGCAACTTGCTACATCTAGAGTAAACCATTTTTGGATAGCTCTAAATGTTGAGTTTTCCCTTATATTGAACTGAAATGTGTCTTCCTCTACCCTTCATGCAACGGAGCCCAGTTCTGCTCTCTGGAGCCAGGATGAGCAATTGAATGAAGACCCAACTAGAATGAAATACACATTATAATTATCAAATAATTAATTTAAAATTATTTTAATATTTTTAAACATATACTTCACAACTTAAGCAATGGCAATGCTCCAAAGTATTTTTTCTTTTCTTTTTTCTTTTTGGCTGGGCAATGGGGTTAAGTGACTTGCCCAGGGTCACACAGCTACTAAGTGTCAAATGTCTGAGACCAGATTTGAACTCAGGTCCTCCTGACTCCAGGGCCGATGCTCTATCCGCTGCACCACCTAGCTGCCCCCAAAGTATTTTTGGAATGCCTATCTTGCAATGGCCTTCAGGGCCTCTGACACTTTCTTACGAAACATCTCAATGGCGGAAGATTTTGATACTCCGAGCTTGGATCAGAAAAGCTTCCAAAGTCATAAGTTTTGTGAGAGACATAGTCAAACCAATGGAAAAGATATTTCTTTTTAAAGTCTTAATTATGGGCTATGTCCTACAAGTGAGAAAGGAAGAGATGGATTTTTCTTATGGATGCATTGTTCTTTGGGGACCATTACTATGGATGGGAATCATTTCTTTTGGATGCATAGCAGTGGCTGGAGAGAAGTCACAGGATTTCAAGCTGCAATGGAGTTTTGAGGTTATCTAGTCCAACTCCTTCATTTTACAAGTAGGTTAACTGAGGCCAAGAAAAGCTAAATGACTTGCCCAAGGTTGCTCAGATAGCAAGTAGTAGAATCAGTGTTTGAATTCAGGACCTCCTATGCTCAAATCCAGCAATCTTTCCATGATATCTTATGCTTTCAAGTGTCTATGTTGTCTAAAGAACAGTAAGAAAGTCACTCCTCACTGGTTAGATCAAGCCTCAGCTAAGAACTTTGGGTAAATAATGCATTATTGCCTTTAGGCCAAATGTTTGAGTTTTAAAGATGCCAAATGACTCCTATTCAGGTACAGGTTACTCTAGGTGACCTCTGGGGCCACTTCTAACACAGATTCTGGGATTATGGGATCTTCATTTCTGATTGTCTTACCATGGCACCAGTATCCAGGATGTCATTCATAGATAAAATGGGGCAAACTCTACTTTTCCTTGGATACCCATATCAAGCATAGAGCTGAGATGATCTGGTATAGACGCAGATCAACAGCTCTTGGAATCCCTGCTACTCGGCCTTCCCTAGTGCCCCACTACCCTCCAGACTCTGCTTTGCTTTATCTCACCAGCTTCCACAGTAGAGCCAACTCAGAGCCCCAAACCACTTCCTGGATCCACTCCCTGCTCATCTCCCAGGCCTCGCTCCACATTGAAAAGCCCAACTCTGGTAAAGTTGTTCCCTTGAAGGCTAAATTTAATGTCATTGTTTCTTTCAGATTCTCTGCATGGACGAATACAAACTGAGTGACCTAGAAAAAGAGAAGCTACTTCTGGTGGTTACCAGCACTTTTGGAAATGGGGATTCTCCTGGGAATGGTGAGGTAAGTTTCACCAAAATTAATGAAAAACATAGAATTCCTCCATTCCACTAGGATTACAGGACACAACCAGAAAGCATTAGAGTCCTAGAGCTGCCTAGAAGGTTAAGTAACTTTCCCAGGTTTACACAGTCAGTATGTATCATAGATGGGACTTGAGCCTTGGGCTTTCTTAAATTGAGGCCAGTTCTCTCTCCTCCGGGCCACATTGGCTCTGACTTTTTAACGATTCATTTGTTTTAAAACAGTCTAATAGTGGGCAATATTTCACTGGTGAGAGAGCAGGAAACGGCTTTCTTTGTGGATAGGTCTGTCCTCTAGGAGGTCCATTACTATGCCCCTGAGGATACTAGGGGACAATTCTCAGAGTATTGACTCCTGGTTATGGCAGTGGCCAGAGGGGGTTTGAGTGCTGTCCAAATAGCATTTATTATGTGTTTACCACATGTTAGGCATTGTACCAAGTATTAGGGCTACAAAGAAAGGGCAAAAAAGTCCCTTTCCTCAAGGAGTGTATATTCAAATGGAGAATACAATAATATGTAAATAACTACGTATATGTAAGATATATTTAGATGGAAGACAATCAGAGAGGAGAAGTGACTAAGAGCTGGGAGGACTAGGAAGAGCCTCTTGTAGAAGGTAGGGCTGAGTGTTAATAGAAGCAAGAGAAACCAATAGGCTGAGGTGAAGGGTTAGAGCAGTGTGGTCAAATTCAAGTAGAAACAGGGACCACTAAACCATACTTAAGGACTATGGTCCTTACAGGCTGCCCTGTGGGGCTACTAGTTGGTGCCATAGTGCATAGAGTCTGGAGTCAGGAAGACTCATCTTCCTGAGTTCAAATCCAACCTCAGATACTTCCTAGCTGTATGACCCTGGGCAAGTCACTTCACCCTGTTTGCCTCAGTTTCCTCATCTGTAAAATGAAGAGGGTGGACAGGATGATCTCTGAGGTGCCTTCTAGCTCCAGAACTTATTTGTAAGGGTAGACTTGGCTACAGTGTGTACCCAATGGGAAAATGAAGGGCTAAGGATGACTCCAAGGTTGTAAACCTGAATACCTGAAGAAGTACCTGGAGAAATTAGGAAGAGAAGTAGATTTGGGGGTAGGGAAGAAGATGATGAGTCCAGGTTTGGACATGTTGAGTTTAAGATGTACTGGGAAGCACCAGTTCATTTGACTTCGGGGACTGAGAATTCTGTGATGTTCCCTCTTTCTAGAAACTGAAGAAGTCCCTGCTTCTCCTGAAAGAGCTAAAAAATAAATTCAGGTAGGTCTTTTCCCTGCTTCCCCTGCTGCCTGATATCAGGCTGGGTCCCTTGGTAAATCCCCCCAAAATTCTCACCTCCTGCTTACCTCCCCATATGTGTCTCTTCTGTGGGCAGATATGCTGTATTTGGTCTTGGCTCCAGCATGTACCCCCAGTTCTGTGCCTTCGCCCATGATATCGACCAGAAGTTTTTGCAGCTAGGGGCCTCTCAACTTGCACCCACCGGCGAAGGAGATGAACTCAGTGGCCAAGATGAGGCCTACCGCAGCTGGGCACTGCATACCTTCAAGGTAATTTCCTAGCTGGAGTCTGGAGAAAAGAGTAAACTGCATTTGTAGATGTCCAGGGTGGCACGTTGGCACTGCTATTGCCTGGACACATTGCCATAATACCTAGCCATGATCAGACTCAGGCAATTGGGGTCTTCTATCTCATTCCAGGACAAGTCTCTGGGCATTATCCCATGGTTTTTTTTGGAAAGTCCCGTCATGAGCAAAACTTGAGGGGCTTGGGGAACAATGATGCTCATGACAAAGTATAAGGCTCTAAAATCCATTTTTGTTTTAAAAAGGGATATAGACATGGAAAAGATATCAGGGATTTCAACTAGCATTCCCTATGGGAATAAGATCTCTCATGGCCATCCTCAGCAAATGACACTTCTACTTAAAGGCCTCCAGTAAAAGGGAATTCACTCTCTTTTGAAGTAATTCATTCTACTTTCAATAACTTGGAGGTTTTCCCCCCTTATATTGAGTCATAAATTTGCCTAAATTTAAATATAAATACTCTAGTCCTCCTAATTATGTCCTGTACTTGGACCGGAAGCCAGAATCATAGTGTCCACCAAACACCCCTCACAGTTCCCAGTTCCACACCTTTGCTGACACTATTTCCTTTGCCTGGAATAGCCTCCCTTTCTCATTCTTTAAGGCCTACCTTGAATTTGTGATAGAAGCTTATTGAAGGCAGGGGCTGTTCTTTTTTAGTCTTTGAATCCCCAGTGCTGGAGCACAGTGCCAGGTACATAGTAGGTACTTAATAAATAACTTTTTAATTGATCTGGGAAACATTCCCTGACAGTCCCAAGTAGCCGAGCTCCTTCCCTCTGAACTCCTATAGGACCACCCCGGTTCTATTCACTTAGTTCTATCCTGTCTTGACATGTAACATTCTGTCATTCCTTAATCCTTGTACTAATATTTAACTTTTCAGGTGTGTACAATACAGCTCCACCATATACTCCCCAAAGCCTGTGATCTCTATTAATCCTTCTGGTGACACTCTTATCATTCTTCTCCTCCTCTCTGGCCTTCTCTTTTCCAGACAGGATCATTCCAGGGAAGCTGACAGTGGATAGAGAGCCGGCCCTGGATTCAGGAGGACCTGAGTTCAAATCTGGCCTCAGACACATAACACTTACTAGCTGTGTGACCCTGGCCAAGTCACTTAACCCCATTGCCTAACCAAAAAAAAAAAAAACAGAAAGGATCATTCCCCCATCTCTTTACTCACCTGCATAAGTTCTATTTTCCTTCATTGTGTCTAGCTCATAGTAGGTGCTCAATGAATGTTTGTTGACCCCCTCATTAACACCACTGCACCAGAAAACTGGTCACTGAACCAGGAAAGGTTGCCAATCTTTCTCCTTCTCTTATCCCAGGTGGCCTGTGAGACCTTTGACATCCAAGCCAGGCAAACAATTCAGATCCCCAAATTGTATACTACCAATGAAACCTGGAACCCTGAAAATTACCGCCTTGTACAAGATCCCCAGCCCCTGGACCTCAACAAAGGTATCTGGCTTCTCTGTATCCAAGCAGTTTCCATCCTTCCCTGTACTGGAATTTCAGAGGGTCCATGACATACAACTGAGGGTCACAGGACCCAAGGTGTGCCAGTCAGCTTGAGGTTACTTGGCATAATGTTGGTGAGAATAGTGAAGTCAATGGTCCGGGGGACCATGAGAGGTAGTATCTCAGGGAACTTTCACTGTCTATCCCTAAGAAAGACATTTTCAAGATAAGGCTAGGTGGGGATAGGTGATGGAGTTAGCATGAAAGGAGAGAATCATACCATGCGTATACTGGTAAACATTTAACAACCAGCTCTCTGGAGGAAGAAATATTCACATGACACACTTTTAAAGTTTAACCTGCATCATTGGTATTTTCTCCATCCCTTTCTTAAGCCAAGATAATCAACAAAACAATCGAGCCCCAATTTGTGACATTTATTGATTTCTGAGGTGTAAATGCTCACACTGAAAATTTAACAATCAGCTCTTGAGCTGGGTTTGACCTAGCTCCAGCATACCCCTGGTACCCTGTAACAAATGCTAACCAGGTTTTAGTAAAAAGGTGTGAATTAGGGCACTAATCGTTGTGATAAAATCTGCAATCTCTAGATTAGATGACTTCATTCATCCTGTGCTTCTTTAACGAGCCTCCATTTCCCCTGCCTTCTTCTCCCAGGGACCACCAAGATCCCTAATTTAAGAGTAGCCTTAGAAAATAGACTCAGGCAAAGGACAATAATCCCCTGCCCCTCCCCCCATGCAACTCGTAAGCAAATCCTTATACTTCTTTCCACCACAGCCCTTAGCAGTATGCATGCCAAGAATGTGTTTTCCATGCGGCTCAAATCGAGACAGAATCTGCAGAGTCTCAAATCCAGGTACAGTGGGCAGCACTTTGCCATACAGAACAGAATTTCCAAAGGGATATTAAAGGAGTTTAACTTTTTAATGAACAAAAGCAATGAGAAATCAAGCTAATCAATCAACAGGCATTTATTGAGAGCCTACTATGTGTAAGGCACTGCGCTAGGTCCTAGGGCTACAAAGAAAATTAATGAAACAATCCCTATTCTCAGGATGCTTAGTTGCAAAGGCAACAAGTACATATGGAAATATATACAGAATAAATATAAAGAGAATAGATATGAATAAAAGGGATTAATCAGTAAGTATCTCAGGAAGAGATCTCTGCTGGGTAGAGGTGGGGTAATCTCCTCTTAGAGTTTGTGAGCCAAGGCTACTCACTTGGGGGAAATGTCCAATAAATGGACTTTGGCTCTTTCTGGGAATCCCAAAACCTGCCCAAGTAGCACCCGCCTTCTGGGAGCATCGCCCTGAACCCCTAAGACTCAGCCATTCCTCTAACCATGAGGGATTTGGAAGGAGCTCCTTGACTTTACTAGACCTGGGGGTCAGGCTGATGGGTGAAGAGATGGGCACATTTCCTGGGGAAACTGGAGCCCAAGAGGTCCACCCATCCTCAGGCCACAAAGGAAATCCTACTGATGTCACTGTGGCTTTCTCTTTCTCTCCTAGCCGGGCAACCCTCCTCGTTAAACTTTCCTGTGAAGAAAATGAGAATCTGAATTATGTACCAGGAGAGCATCTTGGGGTTTTTCCTGGCAACCAGCCCACCCTAGTTCAGGGTATTATAGACCGAGTTAAGGATGGCCCATCACCTCACCAACCCATCCGCCTAGAAACCCGCAATGAGAATGGTAAGCTCTTTCCCAAGGGGTAAATTAAGACACCAGCCCCTTCCCAACCTCCCTTCCTCACCCAAGAGTTCTAGGCTGTCACTCTGATATCTAAACCGGTTCTTCAGCCCCAAGGCTTCATTGGGTATTTGCCATAAATGAGTCAGGGAGGGACTCTTCCCCAGGCTGGGGTGGGTAGACCAGCCTTGTAAATAACCACCTAGTAAAATTTTAGCAAAATGCCCGGAAGGCCGACAAGAAAGAGTATCCCTTTTGAACAACCCTGCCAATCAGAGAGAGCCGAGGAAGAGATACCTGTCTCTCTGGGGTCTTCACTGGGTCATGGACATAGAGAGAAAAGGGACCTCATAGAGGTCATGGAGTCCAAAGCCCTTGTTTTACATAAAATGAAGCTAAGGGCTAAAGGTCATAAGGGGCCTTCAATGTAGAAAGCATCAGAGGAGGGGGTTGCGCAGGGGTCCTTTTCAGTCCAGAGTCCTCATTCTTTCCACTGCACCATGCTAAGTCCCAGTTTGGACTGAGCTAGCTACACCTACTCTGTGAGCCTGCTGACCAGTGGACTACATTTGTAACAGCAGTTCAAGGCTTAGGGGTGCAGCCTACGATGGTGGAATTAAACAAAATGGTTTCCCCATCTGGAAAATGGGAGGAATTATTCCTTCTTCTGCCTGTTGGGAGACAGATAGCATGAGATGTTAAATGGGAAAGCAGCTTATTATTTTAATAAGGTCACACAGAGCCACAATTTGAACCTAGATCCTGACCCCAAATTCAACTCTCTTTCCGTGGCACCATGTTGCTTTTAAAGCAGATTCGGGGAGAAGTAGAGGAATGGACTGATTGAATGTAAATAAGGAAAGGATCTTTGAGCATGGGGGGTTCCTGATGTACAATCTCTCTATCAGGGCAAACCCATCTAGGGCTAAGAATTCATCCAAGGTATATAGATGTTAAATGACTCCCCCACAATCATGCAGAAATGCAGTTTGAACCCAAGCATTCTTGACTCTAAATCCAACACTCTATCCACTAGACCCTTTGTCTCTTGAATTGAACCAACCACATATTTTTCCAAGTATTTCATCCAATACTTCATAGTTATAAAACCCCATATCTCGGTAGTCATTTGGGGTCCTCACAAAGATTTGGGGAGGGAGGGAATACAAAGATTAAGTCCTTTTTCTTTTCAATTGGTTGATGATATCTAATAAAGAGAGACTATCTGACTTAGTGGATAGAGAGCTGGCATTAGGAAACCCGGGGTTCATGTCCAATCTCTGATACATGCTAGCTGTGCGACCCTGGACAAGTCAAGTAACCTGTCAGGGCCCCTGACAACTTTCTAAGACCAAATTGAAGAGCCATTTCTTTCTCTCTCTTTTTTTGGATTTGTAATTTATAGTATTTCATTATATTTGGTTTTTAAATTTTATTTTAATAAATATTTATTGTATTTTTAATTTAAACTGCATGATAGGGGGACTTTCCTTACTGCAAGTTCCTTATACAATAAAATTATGGGTTTTTTTTAAATATAGTACTTGAGGTTTAAATTACTTTCCCATTATATTTTCTCATATTATCTTCATACCTTGCATATGACATTGGCAGGAGAAATGATGATTCTTCCCCTTTACAGATGGGGAAACCATTTTGTTTTTTTCAAGTCTTAGGCTTCACTCTGACCCTGACCTATTGTCCTTTAAATGTAGACCACTTGTCAAAAGGAAGGCTGAATTAGAGTGTGGCTAGTTCAGCCCAAATCAGGATACAGCATGGTGTAGGAGAAGAGAGAGAATGACCTGGGTTCAAATCTCGCTTCCAATGCCCACAACCTGCATGATCTAGGTTTCCATAACTCAACTTCTCTGGACCCCCAGATCTTCATCTATGAAATGAAAATGTTGACCAAGATGCCCTCTGTGGTGCCTCCCAGTTCCATGTTAATTGTCCTATAATTCCCCCCTAAGGGAAAAAAACCAACTTGAACACACCATTCTGTGATGGGTCAGTAGCATCCCCTTCTCATCCAAAGGACAACATTTCTTTACAGCAAAATCCTTATAAGGTACAGACTGGAAAGTTCCTTCTTTTCAAGCCAGTATTAAACAAGATTCCTAACACCATGAGGATATGTCAGAAACTTAAGACATTGGACCTGCTTCATAGTATAGTAAATAGAGCTCCAGACCTGGAGTTAGTTGCTCAACCTTGTTTGCCTCAGTTTCCTCATCTGTCAAATGAGCTGAAAAAGGAAATGGCAAACTATTCCCATATCTTTGTCAAGAAAACCCCAAATGGGGTCATGGAGAGTCAGACACTACTGAAATGACTCAACAATAATCATCTGAAAGAAGTCAGACCCCTCTGGGTGATGAGCTTAAGATCTGGCAGAAGCCAGCTTTCCTTCTCTTCCTCTTATTAAGTGCGGGGGTTAATTCCCTCCTGGCAGGATGGCCCCATCCCTCTCTTTGGGGTCTCCAACAGCTCTCTGGTGAGTCATGTATTGGCCATCTCTGAAGATTTCCTTCCTCTCCTGTCCAGGTGATTACTGGATAAGTGATAAGAAGCTTCCCCCCTGCTCGCTCAGCCAGGCCCTGACGTATTTCCTGGATGTCACTACCCCCCCAACCCAGCTGCTGCTCCGAAAGCTGGCTCAGCTGACCACCTCAGAGGAAGAGAAAAGGCAGCTGGAGGCACTGTGCCAGGTGCTGATGGGATTGGGGACAGGGATAGAAGCATAGGGGAAGGAATAACCCCCCAGGGCCAGTCTTTAACCCCTCAGTTCCACCGAGGCATAAATACCTAACCTTCTTTGGATTTTGGACCCTTTAGCAGGCTGGTGAAGCCTGGGGACCCCTTCTCAGAATAATGGTTTTAAATAATTGAAGGAAATGCTAAATTCTGGCTAGGGATTTGTGAAAATAAAGATGTAACTTTTTCCCAATCCAAGAGCAGACCACTGCAGTTGGGTACGCCATAAATGTCTTTGGAAGTGGGAAGTTTGGTAAAGAGACTGTGAGAAATTAAGTGTATTTTCTTACCCATAATTTTTGGACTCCTCAATTAGTGTCAACTTGGGTTATCCATCGGTAAATAACGTAGGTTTCCCTGTAGGGAGCGACTGGACACAGGGCAAATGTCCAGCAATGAACTACCAGGGCTACTCTCCTCTTTGGCCCTTTTGCAGGGGGACAGGAGGGAGAAGTTGTGGTCTGAGACCAAGGGGGACTCACTGCTCTGTGGTTTGGCCCTTTGAGGGTGACCAGGGGGCACTACAGTGGGTTCTGCCTGAGCATAAGGCTTTGTGTAAAGTTGCTTTATGAGGACCCAATTCCTATTTGCCAGGAGCTATCCAGTTCAAGACCACAGACAGGACAGATACAGGAAACAAAACCTGGGTGGACTATAGTCTTAATTTTTTGTGGAAAGGGCAGGAAGGAAGGAAGTTAAAACATTTCTACAGGGAATATTGATATTCTTAGGGGGAGAAAAGGAATAGAAGTTGTTTCATGCCTGGCCTGAATTTATGTAGTACTTAAGGAGGATGGGAATGGGGAGAAGGGGATTTTTGAAACAGGTTTAGAAAGAGGTTGGTAAAATATAAGTCCTTTGCCTTTGTGTCTATCTCCAGCACAATGCCTGGCACATAATAACCTCATAATAAATGCTTTTGGATTTGTAATATTAACAGGAATTACAGGAGGAAAATAGAGTATTTTAATTCAAATACTGAGAATTTGTTAAGTGCCCACTGTGGGCAGAGTTGTGTCCTAAGAGATGCAAAGTTTGGGTAAGACATAGGCCTCCTAGACTAGTGGAATCTGGGGGCTGTTAGCACCCTCTAAATTTTAACACCCTGAGGTAAAGCTTCCATTGCAGGGGCTTAGTTACAGTTCCAAATGACCCCTGACCAATGGTTGCTCAGTACCAAGGGGAATTCCAGTGAGTCTCTAACACCACCTTTGCATTTCAGACCTCTGAATACAATAAATGGAAGTTCACCAACAGTCCCACATTCCTGGAGGTGCTGGAAGAGTTTCCCTCCATCCAGATCTCAGCTACTTTCCTGCTCACGCAATTGCCCCTGCTGAAGCCCCGCTACTATTCCATAAGCTCATCTCGGGACCTCACCCCCAAGGAGATCCACCTGACCGTGGCTGTGGTCACTTACCGGACCAGAAGTAAGGGTCCCAAGGACCGAGAACAAAGGCAGCCCAACTAGAGACAAAAATAAGCACTGCCTTTAAGGTCACTGGGGGATTTCATTGGATCCAGAGACAGAAGGGACCCAGAATGCCAAATGTTAGAATGGAGAGTGCTAAAGAGAGAGGGGACCTAGAACGCAGAATGTTAGAATGGAGAGTGCCAAAGAGAGAAAGAAGGGACCTAGAACACAGAGAGGTAGAGCTAGAAATGACCTTGTGACTTAGAATGTTAGAATAGAGAATGTTAGAGCCAGAAGGAACTTGTAGAGATCATCTTGTCCAACCCCCTCATAGTACAGACAAGGAAACTGAGGCTAAAGATGAGAAATGTCTTGCCCAAGTAGCAGTGGCAGAACTTGAACCCAGTTCTCCTGACTTCTTGAGCAATCAAGGGTTCTTTGCACTTTGTAATGTGCTCTCGCTCTGGCAGCTCAGCAGCATCACTCTGGATAGGAAGCTTGCAAAGAAAAAAGCCTAAAGGGGGTGAGCAGGTGCTCTTTGGAGGGTCAGAAACAGTGTGTGAGCCAAGGCACCCTTCAGTACATTCTGGACTCCTGGATCTTGTGGGAAGGGCTAAGGGAGCCCCACTGCCTCACTGTTCATCTTCTCCCTTTTCTCCTAGATGGTCAGGGCCCCCTCCACCATGGGGTCTGTAGCACATGGCTCAGCAATCTGAACCTCCAGGAGACGGTACCCTGCTTCGTACGCAGGTGAGGACCCTGGCATGGACTGAGGGCCCAGGTGAAAGAAACCTAGAATGGTGCCAGCCCTCCAGGGCCTCCAAAGACGTCAGGCCTGGAGGAATGGACACAATGCGCTCTCTCCCCCTCCCTTCCTCCTTTTGTCTTCTCCCTCTGTCTCTCCCCCTTCCCCCCCCCCTCCCCCTCCCTCCTTCTTAGTCCCTTTTGCTAGGATTTTTATAGGACAAGCTGGGGACCCTGTCTGTTACAGAACAATGCCATTAGCTCAAGCTTCTTCGCTCTTCTCTTAGTTTAATGAGGTGGAGAACCAGGCAAGGAGGGAGGGATAGCAGGGATGGGCTGGGGACATGGACCTTGAGGAGCTTGTAATCTCAAGTTTATTTCCCCAAACTTTAGTGCCAGCGGCTTCCAACTGCCAGAGAACCCCAGCCACCCCTGCATTCTTGTGGGTCCAGGTACTGGGATTGCACCCTTCAGGAGTTTCTGGCAACAGCGACTGGTGGACAAAGAGAAGAAAGGTAAAGTTCCCAAAGGCACTTTTCCTAGTGGCAGCTGTCACTTGTTTGGGCATTCTACAGACTCCAAAGGGTTTTCCTCACAACAGCCCTGTGGGGAAGAGGGAGGATGATTATCCCCATTTTACAGAGGAGGTAACTGAGGTCCAGAGAAGTGAGCTGATTTGCCCATGGAAGCACAGCTTGTAAGAGTCACAACCAGGCCTAGAACCCAGGTTTCCTGACCCTAGGGCCAGCACTCTAATCGCTTTGTCACACTTCCTCTCTGGTTCTTTCCACTATACCATTTTGCTAAGAACCCCTGAGAGAAGCAGGGTTAGGTTACCAGGGGTGGCCACATGTGGCTTTAAGGCAGCAGGTTCCCCACCCCTGGTTATCCCATCAACCAGGGCAGCAGCAATCACTTATCATACACCTGCTGTGTTCAGGGCATTGGATCAGGCCTATGTAGAGACAAACACTCTCGAATCTGATTACTCTCAAGGGATTTATATCAACTGTACCATTCAGCTCCCATCTCCTCCTGTCCCTACCCATTCCCAGCACCCCCACCCCACACATCACTACTTTCTTCTCCATCTCCTATACTCCCTAAGAACAATGGCCTTAGAATCAAAAGAGCTGGATTCAAATCCTGCTTCTGCTACATAATACCAGTGTGACCTTGGGCAAGTCACTGAACTTCTCTGTGCCTCAGTTTCCTCACTTGTAGAATGAGGAAATGGGATTAGATGGTCTTCAAGGTCCCTTATCTATGACCAGAATGCCTCTGAGATCCCCTTCAGCTCTAAGAGTGTGTGTGCGTGTGTGTGTATACCTGTGTGTGTTTAAAACTGGATTTCAACATTGCAACCCTTCTCAGACTCCTTCCCACTCTCCCTCTGCCAAAACTTTATTATTTCACTATATCCAACCCTCTAGACCTCTAGACCTGGGGCAGCCTTTCTTAGGGCACAGCGCCCTCTTGTGCCCGCCTTGGTAATTGCAGCCTGTTGCCTCCCTTAGGTATCAAGACGGCCAGCATGACCTTGGTGTTTGGATGCCGACACCCAGACCTGGATCACCTGTATCGAGAGGAGATGAAGGAGATGACGCTGAAGGGGGTGCTCCAGGATGTCTACACAGCCTACTCCCGCCAGCCTGGCCAGTCCAAAGTAAGCCGGGTTTTCTATGAACGTCCAATGCCAAAGGTTGCCCTTATATTCCAGGGCATGATAGAATGGAAGAAATACTGTCATTGGGACCAGAAGAGCTGCTTCTGTGGCTCTGGGAAATCTACTTAATGTCCCCGAGCCTCAGTTTCCTCCTCTTTAAAATAAAGGGTTGAACTAGATGGCCTCTGGGGACCCTTCCCACTCTAGATCTCTGAGCCTATGGATCAGCAACACTCCCACCCCATCCCCTCCCCCTCCAGCCCGGCCCCATTAGACGGGCATCCCTAGCCTGGCATGAAGCTGACTTCAAAGTTCCAGCCATCCATGTGTCCGTGAGCAAAGGAGCATCGGCCGCTAACCCAAGGAGTCTTCATCTTTTTTGTGGCCTGGACTCCCTGGACAGCAGCGTGGTGAAGCCTAGGGACCCCTCCTCAAAATCATGTTTTTAAATAGATCAAATAAAACACATAGGATACAAAGGACATTAATCATATTGAAATACAGTCATCAAAATCTTTTTAAAAGCCAAGTTCACAGAGCCCAGGTTCAGAAGCCCTGCTCTGGAGAGCTGGGTAAAGGAAAATAGGAGGGAGTTCCTCCAACCCTCCCTTCTAAGGAAGGGTGGTCAGGAAACACGGTTCAAGGCTTGACTTGGACACTGATTGGTTGGGTAAAGTTGGCCAAGTCACCTCCCCTCCCCTCTTGGAGCCTGAGTTTTCCTTTACATAAAATGGATGTGGTCATTCATGCCTTATCAGCCTCTCAGGAAAGCTCTTTGAAAATGGCAGTCTGACCAGGCATGGTCAGGAGAACCAGGATACATCTGGAGGACCAGGTTCAAGTAAATATAAAAAATTAATAGCAAATTAAAGATTCATCTCAGAACTGTTTTATTTGAACTCCGTTGACACAAACGCACCTGGTACTTTCCTCGTAATAACTCTGTGAGGGAGGTAGTGTGTCAGACTCAACCAAAAAGGTGTTTAGAAGGGTAATCCATGTGGCCAACATAGGTGGTCCAAGTGGTAAAATCCAAAGTCAAATCCTGGAAGCAAACCATTCTCTATAAATTGCTATGATTCTTTCCCAGGTCTATGTTCAGGATATCCTGAGGCAGAGATTGGCAGATGAGGTGATCCGGGTACTACATGAGGACAAAGGGCACCTGTATGTCTGCGGGGATGTGAGGATGGCCCGGGATGTGGCCCGAACTCTGAAGGATCTCTTTGCCACCAGACTGAAGATGAATGAAGAGCAGACTGACAACTATTTCTTCCAACTCAAGGTAGGGCCCGTGCCAAGAATGGTGGGCAAATGATGCCATCCCCAGAAGCTTGGGGGCTTAGATTAATGATGTCACTAGCTCACTTTGTGACCTACAATGAAGCACTTTTACTTTCTCAGCTATAAGGTAGGAAGAGAAATTTCTCTCCTCCACCCTCCTGCCCCTCCCTCATTTCAGAGAGCAAACAAAATGTTTTGAGGACTCCCTCTAAGGGAGTTGCTCCAGAAATACAAGGGAATGGGAGGAAACTGGAAGGAACCTTGGAGGCCATCTCATCCAACTCCATTGTCATCAGAGAGGTCCAAAGACATAGACCTAGTAACGAGCAGAGGCTACATCTGAGCCCAGGTCCTCTGACTCTCCCCCAGCTCTCTTGCCATAATAAGCCTTGCACTTCCTCCTTCTTGGGACCATTGTTTTGTAAACTGAAATTTGTTACGTCAAAAAGGTCTCCTATCATTGGGGTTTGTGGTACTTTTGCTGTCCCTACCAATATTGCCCACTGCCCCTGTTAATGCAGCTAACCCACAGGGCTCATTTACTCTCTCTCTCTCTCTCTCTCTCTCTCTCTCTCTCTCTCTCTCTCTCTTTAAGAGCCAGAAGCGATACCATGAAGACATCTTTGGGGCTGTCTTTCCCTACGAGGTGAAAACTGACCCAGCAGCATCAAAAGCTGAGGAGGCCAAGATCCCTAAGGCACAACTCAGCTAGAGCTGCTGCAGAGGGATGCAGCCACGTCTTCATTATCTGTGGCCACAGAGGGGAGGAGAAGATTTGATCTCCTCCCCCCACTTCCCCCACCCCTGACTTCTGCCCCCACTGGGAACAAACTGAGACTGGCTCCTTCTCCATCTCCTCTTCCTGCCCCACCTGCCACCTGTGGCTGCTTCTGACCTGCCAGTAAAGGTGGGCAACGGAGAAGAGAAAGGACTATGCTGGGAACTCACAACACCATCCCCCAATCCAGGTCCACTGCTGACCACCTCCCCCAGCCCCAGATGATGAAGAGTTGGCTGTCTTCATCCCACAAGGACCCAATTGTACCTTTGGGCAAAGACTGGATTTGGATCCTTTTGGACTAAGTGACCACAACGGTCAGAAGATAAAAAAGGCAAGATTTTCTGTAATCATGGCTAGGGCCAACACATGGTCATTCTGTTTACAGTGGGTGTGTTGCACTGTAATCCTCAGGCTTGCCAAGAGCCACGCTAATGTAAGGGACCGAGAGCAGGTCAATTAGTATGTACAGTTTTTTATATTGTCTTTATTTAAAACCCCCTAACCCCACCTGGGAGAAATTCTTCTCCCAAGTGACCCTTGGGCTTACCTAGAATGGTTCCTAAAGATGATTTTTAAAAAATGAATTTTGGATACTCAAACAAATCCCATCTCTGACCCATACGGGCTGTGTGATGCCGGACAGGTAACTTAACCTCTCACTGCTCTGGTCAGTTTTCTCAGACTGAGCTGCATTGATGAAAGGAGTTTACTCACCAAAAGCTCTCTCTATCAATGAATCCTAGGTTTATTCCCTATCCCTGTCCCTTAGACATATATAGAGAAGCAAGGGACACATAGGGGACTTGAAGGCTGTAAGACCTGGGTTCAAATCCCATCTCTGACACTTCCTAGCAGTGTGACCCTGGGAAAAGTAAGTCACCTAACTTTGAGCCCCAGATAATTGTGACCTGTGTGAATATTCAGACCCCTGAGAGTGACAAACACATCTGGAGGCACTGAGTGGACTGACAGCTGTTGCTGGGTTAAGTCAGAACCGGCACCAGTTTCACTTGTGACAGAGCCCTCATTCCTGAAGCCCGTGCCCCTTGGCATCATGGGATTGTCTATTTAGACTGGGAAGTAAGCTCGAAGTTCATCCAGTACAACTCCCTCCTTTTAGAGAGGAGGATTTTGAGACTCAAGGGCCAAAGATCATACAGGCAGAATGAGCTCCTGAACACAGGTCCTCTGACTTCAGGGCCAGTACTCTATCTGCAATGCAGAAGCGACTGCTACAGTAGGGAAGCAGAAGTGAGACCGAAGACAAAGCATCTGTGTAATGGACACATGACGAGGAGGGAGGACGAAGAGGGAAGCGTGGTACGCATTTGGGTATGGTTGGGAAATGGGCTTTGTCTCTCAATGGATGGTGTCTTCTATTATTTTTGAAAAGTGTTATGATACCGACACTAAGGATGGAGGCTGGAATGAAATGAACTGGGCTCTCAGCTACGTACTTTCTTTAGGAATTGGCTTGGACCCCGTCGGATTCTACCTTTACCAATAAATGACTTTGCATTTAGGAAAAGAGCCAAAGGTCTCTGTGGTGGTTTCTTGGAGGTGGGTGGATGGGCCTTGAGCTCCCAATAATAACTGAGTTCTCTTTATATTAACACTTGTTTGAAATGAATGAAAGTTAACAGAAGTTTGAAAAGCAGTTCATGTATACTAGCCTACCTGTGAGGAAGGCGCTGTCCATCCATCTAACCATTAACAAGCATTTATTAAGCACCTACTGCATACTAGGCACTGTGCTAGGCATTGGAGATACAAAGAGAAAAGAAGCAGTCCCTGTCCTCATAGAACTTCTACTCTATTTGAATGGGAGCAACCCTCAATCAATCAACAAGCATTTATTAAGCACCTACTACATACTAGGCATTGTGCTAGGCATTGGAGATACAAAGAGAAATGAAGCTGCCCCTATCCTCATAGAACTTCCATTCCACTTGAACGGGAACAACCCTCAATCAATTGAGCATTTATTAAGCACCTACTACATACCAGGTCCTTTACTAAGCCTTTGGGGAGAAATAAAGATATGTCCCTGACCCACTTTCCCCTAGAACAATGGGTATACTTTACCAAAACTCCTTGCTGTGCATTCAGTGGGGGAGACACCAGGGCAAGAACTCCTGATCCTTAGGGTACATGGGCATGAGCCTGTGAGAGTGAAGGGTGGTGGGGAAAACAGGGGCAGATTTGGGCTGGGACAGGGGGATGGAAAACATTTTGTTAGATCTGAACGTGAGTCAGATGAATATCTCCAGCCACCTCCAGCAAGTTGATAGATGGCAGGTTCTTCACTTGGTGGTTGTAACCGAACAAGTAGTGCCCGTTGACAGTTACCTTGAAGCAGTGGGCTTCACAGGTGATCGATACCTGGAAAACAAGGAGACAGGTCTTTTAGGCCACCCTCTGCGCAGGGCTTAGAAAAAGGGAGATTAAAATTGGCATGGTTTCACTTTCAATCTCTTTGTCTGTCAAATAGGATAATACTTTTGGAAAGGGGGAGATAGAAAATGAATCACTGATAAGGGGATTTCCCTGTGCAAACTCCTTGTACCAGTGCAGTTCTGCTATAAGCAGTCAGGGAGACTTGTCCAGGAGCGTCGCCGTGATGAATAACTTCCCCAGGGCTTCCCAAGGGGACCTTTCTAACTCTGAGGCTGGCTCTCTATCTACTATGGACACACCTCCTCTCCAGATAATAATAGCTAACATGCAAACCACACTTTAAAGTGGATGAAGTACCTAGATGCATTCTCTTATCTGAGTTCCCTCAATTCCTTATGAGAGGGCTACACAGGCATTATTACCTTCTCCTTTTTATAGAGAGGGTACCTGAAGTTCAGATACATCACATGATTTACCTATGGTCATACAACTAGTAAATGTTAGAGATGGGATTTGAAGAGAGCTTTCCCTGGCTCTGAGTACAGTGTCCTTCCCACTTAGCTACACTGGCTTTCTTCAGTAATGTTTTCAAGACCTACCACCTACAGCTGTGGGCAAGAGAGCACATTCTTAACTTTAAAGCTCTCTATAAACATGAGCTCAGGATAACAACACTTTAGCACCAATTCAAGGCCACTGGTTATATGATCTGTGTCAGTGGAGGGAAATCTAAGCTGAAGAAATCCCTGAACATTGTAATATTGAAGTCATGCTAGGGTCATTCTTTGTCACTCTAGGTATAAATTTGTTCACTTCTCAGTATTGGCTCCATAAATCAGGGATAGATGCTCCCCTGTGCCTGACCTTACTTAAGAAATCATCACTTTCCCTAAAGATAAGGAGGCCTGGGAGGGATTTTTCCTCATCCTTGAAAGGGTCTCTCCAGGGAAGGACTCTAGAAAATGAAGACCCTGACTTATTGAAGGCCTTTTCATGGCTCATTGTACTCTGTAATGGTACCACTGAAGTTCAAGGTTTATCTCCCTCTCCTACACCACCCAAGCCCCCTCCCCCTCCTCATACCTTACCTTGAAGGTCTGGCCTCTGATGAAGGGCATAGCACCGAGCAGATTAAGCTCCTTGGGTCCCCATGAGCCAGCGATGTGACTGTTCCAGATTACAGCATTCTGTTCAAATCATGGGTTCAGGTGGAAGGCCATGTCATTCCCACTTCTCAGGTTGATTACAAACCTGAAGGACAGAGACAGTAAGATGTTGTCCCTCTACAAATGGAGATCAGCAGCTTCTCTGCAACTTTCTATCTTAGAGAGATGTCTGGGAAACTGAGCAGTGACTTGCCCAGGGTCACACAACGAGTATGGATCAGAAGGAATGGACCCCAGGTCTTCCTGATTCCAAGGCCAGTGCTCTGTCTACTATATTATGCTGCCCTGGACTTATTTGGCATTAATATTTGTTGAATTATTTTTTCTGAATAATTCAGGATGACTCGACAATGTCTTCCCTTTGCTATCCGGCAGGAAAACCAGCCCTGCAGTTCTCTTTTGCCTAGGATTCGTGAAGGAGTTGGGACCTTTATAACTCTGTGAACTCAGGACAATGACTCTCTCTGCCTGTGAGTTACCAGTAAGCAGAAGGCAGGACAGAGCCAGACGCAAGCATGGATTTGGCTGGAGAGAGTCCCCCACAAATCGAGGCACGGAAAGGTAAGGTCTGCAAGAAAACAAAAGGCACCAAGTATTAAGCAATGATAAAGAAACTCCTGCTGCCTTGAGAAATAAGTCTGAAAATGTGCAACCCAGGATATAGGCAGGGGGTACCTTTCAGAAAAGGATGACAAAAAGACAAACGACCTGGACAACGAAAGACCAGAGGAAAATGTTCACGTGGTGGGCTCAAGGGAGGGCTTTAGGGCCAGGAAAGTGGAAGCAAGAGTTGGAAGGTCCCCCTACTAGTCATCCCCCCACCGCCACCCTACCGTGTGAATCCACTGTATCATTTCCAAGTCTGGACCTGTCTTTGATTTTCTGAGTTTTTACAGTCCCAGGTCATCAGGGATTCTACCCTACATACACATACACCCACACACACACACGCACACACTCACACATACACACACATACTTTCTTACACATAGACAAACTTACATGTTTATGTTCTGGGAATGATTCAGGTGGGCAAGAGGATTACTGTAAAAGAGAACAGAATATGTGATATGAGTCAGAGGACCTGGGTTCAAATCCCACCTCTGACAATAACTTAAGTGAATAACTTAAGTGACCTTTGGCAAATTACTTCTCCTCCCTGAGCATCAGGGTCTTCATCTGTAAATGACTTGTCTAAGGTCACACAGGTAAGTGCCAGAGGTGGGATGTGACTCATCGACTAATGCCCCTTCTCTTCAGCTCAGTGACTTCCTTATTGTAACAGACCTATCTAACTTACTGTTCTTATGGATCAAATTGACATGGATAATGTTACTGTATCTTTGAATTGGAATAGAATCTTTTTTTTTTCAGGCAATTGGGGTTAAGTGACTTGCCCAGGGTCACACAGCTAGTACGTGTCAAGTGTTTGGTCTGAGGCCAGATTTGAACTCAGGTCCTCCTGACTTCAGGGCTGGTGCTCTATCCACTGCACCACCTAGCTGCCCCTGAATTGGAATAGAATCTTGAGCAACTAGGGGACGCAACAGTGCATAGAGTGCCTGGCCTGGACTCAGGAAGACACATCTTCCTGAGTTCAAATCCAGCCTCAGACACTATCAGTGTTTGCTATGGAGCCAATTGATGGAGCTGGAATAATACAATTTGGCAGGGAGCTCTCTCTGACCAGACGATAGCCCCAAACTCAGCACTGAAATATATAGGGCAATGAGTACCGGTAGTAAGGGCTACTACCCAGTGGGTTCTCAGCTTGGATAGGGAAAAGAGATGATGGAGGAGTCTGATGTCTCTTGTTCTGACCTGGAAGTTGACATAGGCCAGCTGCACTATGCCACCGATCATGATGGTGTCCACACATTGCAAAGGGATCCGGTGCTGATACTGGACAAAGAGGTTCCCATTCACAGTCACCTGCCAACAAGAAGAAGCTGCGTTAGCAAGAAATCCAGTGGCATGCTGGGAGCCACAATGGTAAGTCCTTGAGGTTGGGTCTGCCTCCACCCAATACCGTATTCATCATTCCTTCAGGCCCTAAGAACCGCTCTGGCTTGCAGGCCTGTTACTGAAAGGAGACGTGTGATTGAGCCTCCATCATCCAAGCCAATGGATAGCATCAATGCCATGGATGAACCCAAATGGTGAGTCACCCAAAGATCATCTCCATTTACATTGCACATACAATACACTCCTGCCATCTTCTTGACTGTCGCCCTGCTCATCTCTTCCCCATCCCCATCTCAGCATGCTTGTGGGTGATGGTAACATCTAAAGTGTGACCAGCCAGGGTGAATTGAAGTCATGGCATTTGAGGAGATTGAGCAACTGGAGAGAGAAGTGAAGAGAACTAAACATACTACTCCGGATGTGAACTGAACAGAGCAGACAGTTCTGCTGAACCATCACTTCCTCATTCCTAAAAGCCTTGCTTCTTTTAAATACAGTCTGAGATGACATTCCATTTCCTGGCTTCTGTGTCACATTGCTGAGCTTTCAAGTTGAGCTTTCAGTCCACCGAGAGCCCCGGATCTTTCTCAGACAAACTACAACTTAACCATACCTTTCCCATCTTGTACTTCCAAAATTGATTTTTTTTTTGTTGGGGAGGGGCCCAGCCACTCTGACTTGTGTCCCTAAGATCTTGCCTCACTACATGACCCTATTACTTCTCTAAGGGGAACAACTTTGAAAGGCCGTTTTACTTAATTTGAAGTCTGTACTCTCGACCCAAAAACGAATTCCAAAAGACTCCCCCTTCCGGAAAGGCATCTGCATCTTCCTCTCCTCAATCCCCCAGCAACCGTTCTTCTTTGTGTTGCACACTACATGGTCACCATCTTGAAACCGAGGGTTGAAATGAAAGGCGATGTCATTTCCACTGGTCCCGCATCGAAAATCCACATGGAACCTAGTCCAGGAGTCAAGAAAATAAGACCAGTTAGTGGATGCTGTGTGTTGCTGGGGATACTCCTTAGCCTTAGAGCCTTTCCTTCCCCTATCACTTTGTTTTTCTTACTTTCCTTCTTCCTTTTGGTCTTTGTGACACTTTCTTCCCCTCATGTTTTCTTTGCTTTAGACGCCTGCAGTTGGAAGTGTTATCTTGTTCTTTCTAAGCTAAGATTTCTTAAACCAGATCCAAACATAAAGAGAGAGAAACAGAGACACATAGAGAGAGACAAAGACAGAGAGAAAGAGAGCGAGAAAAGAGAGACACAGAAAAAGAGATTCCGTCTCCTCAGTGGTTTCTCACCTCGATGACGGCTGTGGTGGCTGTGCTGGAAGCAAGTTTGGTGTTTTGGGGCACTGCTATTCCCAAGGCTCTTGGATATAGAGCTTTGGGGTGTTTCTGTCAGGTCCTGAGGCGAAATGTTGGTCAAGGTGGTAGTAGTAGTGGTTTGACTCCCTATCTCTCCCTCAGTTATTAACTGATTGGTAGTCCTAGAAGGCAGCTAGGTAGTACAGTGGATAGAACATGGAATCTGGAAGATCTGAGTTGAAATCTGGTCTCAGACATTTACTAGCTGTGTGACCTTGGGCAAGTCACATAACCTTGGTTGCCTCAGTTTCCTTATCTGTAAAATGAGCTGGAGAAGGAAAGTAACTGTCTGAAGCCAGATTTGAACTGAGGAAGATGAGTCTTCCTGATTCCACGCCCTGTGCTCTATCCACTGTGCCACCTAGCTGCCCAAATGTACTCTTGGGATCATACATATAGAGCTAGGAGAGACATGAGAGCTCATCAACTCTCTTTTATAGAGAAAGAAACTGGAGGCTCAACAAAAGGCAATGACTTGTTCCGGTACACATAGTTAAGTAGCCAAGCTGGGATTTCAACACATGTCTTCTGACTCCCAGCACTAAAACCCAGCAGTCTTTCCTTGGCTCCCCAGTGCCTCCTTCACAGTCCCTCTAGGGGACTTTGGTCGTATGGCCAGGGTTCAGTAAATGATGAATAGGGGGGCTGATTTGATGACACAGAAATAGTTTCTTTCCCTTATGGAATGGTGGTATATTTCTGGATTCATGTCCTTAATATACATAGGTGGTTAGCCCAGGGCCAATAGCTCAGTAGATTAGGTTGCTAATTAAAGCCAAGAAATAATTTATTTACCACCAACTGTGTACAGAGCACAAAACTAGATGCTGGCAGAGATACAAAATTTAGTTCATATATGGTGCCTTTCCTCATGGATTTTACAGTAGACTAATAATGAGATTAAATTCCCAAGTTTTATCCTTCATGGGGCAGGAGTCAGTCAAAGTTTAATTAGAAGAAATACCATCTCTTTCCATTTTCATCCAGTTCAGGGCATTCACTCACAGACTAATCTCCATGCCTGGAATGGATGCTTCTTAATCACTACTTTTCAGAATCTATATCTTCTCACTTCAAGGATCAGCGGAGATGCCCCCTACACTAGACAGTCTTCCTAAACCCCTCCTCCACACCTCTTCATCAGGATTTTCTTCCTTCTCAAATATTTCTTGAGTGACCATGAAACCTGCCTCACAGCTAGAAAGACAGGTCCTGCCTCTAACGCCTGTTGGTGCTCGAGTCACTTAAACTGGAAGCAGTTCTCTAAGCCAAAGCGGGTCTCAACCTCTTTTTCTGTGTTCTGGACCCCTTTGGCAGCAGTCTGGTATGGACCCCATCTCAGAAGAGTTTTTAAATAAATTTTTTAAAATGCATAGGATTACAATTCCATTGAAACAGTCACCAAAATATTTTAAAAACCAAGTTCATGGATCCCAGGTTAAGAACTCCCTGCAAGTCTAAAACCATAAATTGCAGAGAAGTTGCTTCCCTATATTGATATGGAAATTTCCTCATCCCTAAGCCACTCTATTGTTTGTTGTTTAGTCATGTCCAACTCTTCGTGACCCCATGGACCACAGCACACCAGGCCCTTCTAATCTCCACTATCTCTCCAAGTCTGTCCAAGCTCATGCTTGCTGCTTCTGTGACACTAGCTATCCCTCTCATCCTCTGCTGTCCCCTTTTCCTTTCACCTTCAATCTTTCCGAACATCAGGGTCTTTTCCCGTGAGTTCCATCTTTCCATTAGGTGTCCAAAGTATTTAAGCTTCAGCTTCAGCGTCTATCTGGCTTTATCTGGATTTCTCCTTTGCCTTCCTTACACCCTACGCTGTATTTACTCAGCTCTGTGTGCTTATAGCTCCTTCCTCTTCTCTCCCTGCATAGAAAAGAAGTTCTTGGAGAGGAGAGACTTCTTAAAAACTCTGTATCCAAAGTTCCTAGCTTGGTGCCTTATACATAATAGGCACTTTACATAACTTTGTTAAGCTGAGATGAAAAACCGTTTCCTGGCTACAGACCACAGCCTGGTCTGTCACCTCTCAGATGAAGTCAGATCCAGAGCCTGGGCTGAGAGTGTGTTTGTGACTCAATCCCACTCTTTGGATCATAGCCCCACTCTCGTAGGGCCAGTGGCTCAGTAGACTAGATTGCTAATCTAATTGCAGAGGGCTCGGCAGGTTATCATCATTATAAATGATTCTCTGACCTTTGGACCTGTTAACACCCTGAAGTCGAGTGCAACAACTTTGGGGAACAAAAATAATTGCCAGGGATAATTCTGGACCTTTCTTAAACCACAGCCTGCTGACTGTACTGCTGATGGGTGCCCTGATCTGCGGAAAATAAGACAAATATTTCTGACTATGGCCAACAGGGGAATTTGTTTTGCTTGGCTCTGCACATTTTTTTTTTAACAAGAGCTTTGTTTTTATTTTCTTTTTTTCAGTGGGGGGCAGGGGACGAAGTAGGAGGAAGAGAAAATAAAGGCAGATTAATTTAAAAAGATAATGTTTTAAGGCAAGTCATCTGGAAGACAAACACAAACAGTACTCATTCTCAGTGGAAGAGAAGACCGTCCCACTGATAGCGATCTCAAGTCCATCCCGGAGTCCACCTGGTATTGATTCGATGAAGGGCACAAGCTGCAGAGAGAAGGAGGAGAAGTATAGCTAAGGTCTAGACCACCAAGACAAAAACAATTCCAACCCCAGCCCCCTCAGTTGTAGGTTTGCAGTCTGAAGAGAGGCAGACCTGCAGCAATGTCAAAAAGACAAAGGGGCTGTCCTGCATTTCAGCGTTACCTAATGGAATGTCAAGGAGGAGGAAATTCTGTTCTAGATTCTTGGGTCCATAGTTTTCTCCTTTGAATTTTCACTGGTACTCTGTAACCCAACCCAAACACACACATAAACACACACACAAATACACCTGCATCCATAATATCTATGTAGCACAAAAATTCAGGTGGGACATGGGATGTTCTGGAGTAGGGACTGCTTTGCTACAGTGTTACGGGGGAGCATGAGGGGTCATAATAATACAAAAAAAAGTATCAATGAAATATTTTCACAGAACAGAAGAACACAGATGACCCAAAACAGGGCAATGCTGGCACTACTTCATTAAATGTAATGTTCAACAAGTTATAGTATATGAATGTAATAGAATATTATTGTGCTATAAGAAATGACGAACAGGCAGACTTCAGAAAAACCTGGAAAGACTTGTATGGTCTGATGCTGAGTGAAGTGAGCAGGACCAGGAGAACATCGTACCCAGTAACAGCCACATTGTGCAATGACTGACTTTGATAGATTTAACCCTTCTCAGCAATACAAGTATCTAAGACATCTCCAAAAGCCTCATGATGGAAAATGCTATCCACATCCAGAGAAAGAACTATGGAGTCTGAATGCAGATCGAAGCAGACTATTTGCTATTTTTTTCTCTTCTGTTGTGTTTTGTTTCCTCTTTCTGGTGGTTCCTCCTATTGGTTCTAATTCTTCCTTACAACATCACTAATGTGAAAATATGTTTAATAGAAATGTATTTGTATAGGCTATATCAGATTGTGCACTGTCTTGGGGAGGGAGAAGGAGAAAAATTTTAAACTCAGAAGCTTATGGAAATGACTGTTGATAAATCAAAATAAATTAATTTTTTTTAAATGTAACATTCAAAAAAGAGCAGACACAGAAAGACACAAAAAGAAATCAATGAGAAGACAAATGGCATGAAGGAAAGCCAGAGAGAATGCCCAGAGTTGAGAGATGAAAGTTTTGTTCATGCAACAGCCAGGTGGCCCGTGTAACTGGATCAAAGGACACGGGTTGATCAATTCCCTCTTCTGCAAACTCCACTTCCTCTCCCCCACTGGGACAAAATTCTCATAAGCAGCTATTTCCTGCCAGAAAGCCAGCTTTTTTTTTAAGTTGCTAAGTGACTTCGGGTCAGTTAGGATGAATCCTAAATGAGACACAGATTAGTCTTTCTGAAGACGGCCAGTCAGTTCAGCAATCAGCCCCACATCATTTCGCTATTTCCCCTTCAAATTTCTCATGTTTTAACTTAAGCTCTGCCCTCCCTGTAGAAAAAAAATCTCTTCTATTTCTTCACGTAAATACCCTCCCCTAGCATCGCACATCCAGGCCTTCTGACCAGAGCCACCAAGAAAGGGTAGGTTCCATCTCATCTTATCATAGTCTCAGCATCTGCCTTTCTAAAGCCCAATGTCAGTCAGTTCACAAGCATTTATGAAGCATCTACTATGTGTCAGGCACTGTGCTAAGCACCTGGGGTACAAAAAGAGACAAAAGATAGTCCCTGCCCTCAAGAAGCTTACAATCTAATGGGGGAGACAATATGCCAATATATACAGAGCAAACTATATACTGGATAAATAGGAAATAACCAAGAGAAGAGAGGCGCTAGAATTGAGGGATTGGGAAAGATTTTCTGTAGAAGGTAGGATTTCAGCTGGAAGCCAAGAAGTTAAAGGATGGTATTACAAATACTCCTGGCATCCAGATAGGGTTACTTTTAAGGGTAGGAGGAGAATTTTTGCTACAAATGGGTTCCAGTCCTTATTCTACCATTTTTACTTAGATGGCTTTAGGCAAATCCTAATTCTTCAGATCTTCAGTTTCTATATTTGCAAATAAGTGACAAGATCTGTCTCACCCACCTCACGGGGCTGGGAGCAGATATAGCCTAAGCTGGGCTGATTTAAGGGCTCTTCCCATTCTCAAGTCCACACAGAAGGGAATGACAAGGGAGGACCAGAGTAGGGAGATAATGTGGAGAAAAACAAGCTGGAACTGGATTAAGGAAGATCTGGGGTTCAATAATAGCTCCAACCCTTACTAGCCAGGTGACCCTGAACAAGTTACTGCTCTGGGCCTCATTTTCCAGAAGTAAATGAGGGGGTTTTTCTAGGCAACCTGAAATACCCCTGTCAGCTCAGAAACTAGGGTCCTATGTTTTATGCTACCCATCTCACAGGTTGGATTTGGGGATACAAATACGGGAAAAATCCATGGGAACTCTTTCCATCTATGCCACCCATCTATGACTCAGGCCCTAAGTCTTAGGAGAAAGGTTTTGGGGAGCTTTGTGAGTGAAGGGACTTGCCCTGGGTCACACAGTCAAATGTGTGTCAGTGGTGGAACTTGAACCCCAGATCTTTCTAATCCCAAGTCCAGCGCTCTTATCACTGCATACAGACAGTGTAGTGCAACGAACAGAAGGATGGACATGGAGTTAGAGGACCTGAGTTCAGTTCCTATGGCAGTTCTGTCCCTTATTACCTGTGTGACCTTGAGCAAGTTTATTGACCTCTCTCTACCTCAAGGCTGAGATTCAAAGGCTCAAAGGATCCCTGTTGTTCCACTGTCCACTCTCAGCTTCCACCTCTGGTATCAAGCTGCCACCGTTTCAGGGATGGGGTCAGAATGTAGACCACGAAAAGCAAATATGAGACCCAGTACCCACATCCTACCTGGCTCACTGACTGCCCCTCCCTCCAAAATGTAAACAAAACAAGGCATTCTCCCCTGGCTGTTTATTCTAATAACCCTAGGTCCATGTCTCCAGAGCTGACTCCTCACAGGGTCATGGAAGTAGCCCTCCCCACCAGCCTCCACCATGGTGCCCACTCCAGGTAGGCTTACAGGGTTCAGGTAGAGTGGCTGGCCAGTGTTGAAGTTCATGCTACTGCTGCTGCTGCTGCTGCTGCTGCTGCTGCTACTACTACTACTACTACTACTACTACTACTACTACTACTACTACT